GAAATCAAAACAGCAATTTTTGTGGTCGCAATTAGCAAATCGCAAACACTGTGATTATTCAAAGTTCTTTGCAAACAAAAAATGGACTAAGATAAAGAAAACATCTCTTAAATTTGGGAAAATGTCTCTTGATTTGAGTTCATTTTGAAGAATGAAACAAGCTTGTATCTTTGTTGTTGTGCAGAAGCATTCTTTTCTCCTTCCAAATTAGACATCATCTTTTTCATAATTTATTCAAAACTGTCAAAATGTGTTGCACTACTCTGGTCTGTTTATAAGAATGTTGTGGGGAAAAAAAAAATAGACCTAGATCAAGCTCAAGCTAAAACATGTGTGTGAAATTTGTTTATATGCTTTTTCAACTAGAAAAGGTTTTTTATTTTGTTATTTTATTGTACAAAATTTGACTTTTTAAACAAAATCACAGTTAATTTTGGTCCGAAATATTGCACTTTAATTATTAACCAAAATCATGCAGCCTTATGAGACACACAATCACCATACGCCCACCTCCACTCCACCCAACATAAAGACATTTATTAACCTAATGACAAATGAGTTTGACAATTATGTGTGTATTTCATAAAGGCTTTGCTCATTCCCTTTGCTCACCCCTACAAAAGAAGAATTCCAAAGCTGTTATTCCTCTACAGCCAGTGGTCACCAAACTCATTTCCCTTCATGGCTGTAGGGTTACACCATGTCCAATTCTATAATGCAACCATAGTGAAACGCTTCAACCTATTTTTCAGAATAAATTACTTTTCCAACAAATCTCTACCACTCTGCTCAAATCGATGCACACTGACTGAGGACGCACTTGTGTAGCTGCTGGCAGATGTTTTCCCTAATAGCTTTTCTCCACGTGAACCCTTACTATATTACGCAGTATTCCTCGTATTTATTTCCACAACATGCCGTTCCTCTTCTTCTTTTTTCTACTTTACCTTGATACACTGTATTTCTGCTGTTCTTTGTCCTTGTCTGTCATCCTAATAGACTCTCCCCAGTTCTCTCTCCCCCTTCACCAACCCTGACCCACTTAGCTGGGTGCTTGTTATTCAAACGTTAGCTTTGCACACATACGCACACACATATATGAGATGAGAGAGAGGGGGAGAGAGAGGGAGAGGAAGGGAGAGAGGGTAATTTGGTTTGACTACGGAGCTTGCAATCCTTTTATTTCTCTCACTGTAAGCCTTTCTGATTCAAAAGCACTGAAATGATGGGAAAGTTCAGGTTTTTGATTTTTTTTTTTTTTTTACTTAGAAATAACTCAACAGAGAAGCAGCACCTCTACTGTGTTTCAGATCAGAAAGAAGGCAAAGTGCTGTGACCGGGATTATTTCTCAAATAGAAAATGCATTTGCACTTGGTAGATAAGGAACAGAAAGAACTGTATCCGGCTTTGGTTTGCTAAAAATAAAGCGTCAACATTTTATTATGTTATTAGTCAATGTGTCCTTATATTATAATGTTGCTTTTGATTTGGTTGAACATTGAAAGTTCCCAAACACATACAGGTTAAACTTGGAAAAGTACATTTACTCCTGTCATTCAATATAAAAGAAAAAAAATCTGAAAAAACTAAACTAAAAAACACTTGAAATAAAACATAATACTGTATAAAATGTCATACAATCAATATATATCTAAATATAATTTTTAGCACACATCTAATGGTTCATCTGTTTTTTTTAATTTTATATGAAATGTCTTGTGACACTGGATTATTATTAACAAAAGCTGATATCAGTGAAAGATTGCACTGTTTCATTGCTCTTTCCATGACAACAATTAAAACAAAGTGAGATTGTTTGTGGTCGTGGGCACCTGTCACCTTCGATGGATTAGTATTTTGAATCAGAATGAGTCTTCAGTTTCTCTTTAAATAATTTCATTCATCATCATTACACTTAATGTTAAAATGCAAATGAGCCCCGCGGCTGTAATTTGTCACTCCAGGAGCCCAACTTATGGATATTATATTATTATTACCTCTCAAGCATGACATTCATCTTAATAACAACAATTATGTACATTTTATAACCCTATTAGATTTGAACAAAGTCATTTTTTCTAACATGCTAATTTTGATGTTGACTATTGGAAAAGTTGCTTAGAAACGTGTCAATATCAGTTTCCTACAGACTCTATAATCAATAATACATTACATCAATATTTGTCACTTTATCAGTAACAGCTATCAATATTGATAAGCTTTATGGTCAGTACTATAATCTCTTATCTCAATAGTTGTAAGAGCAGGTGGGGAGTGGGGCCTATTTATTGACAATTTTAGAAGAAATCAAATGAACATATAATCAATGTTTTCCCTTACTTCTATTATTAGTATTTCATTATTATTTCATTACAAATATATTCATGTTTATTTGCACTAGAGTAAAGCTCCCCCACATTGACCAGTCAACCCAAACTAACCACAACACAACAACAGATACATTCAAGTATACATTATTTTATACTTAAAAAACTGAAGTATAAACTTGCAAGTACAATGCGGTTTACAAGCCATTAAGAGAAATACTGCCTTTATTATCTTTTTTTCTGAGAGATTCTTGTTTTTTCTACATATTTTTTAAAGCTCAAAACACAGGGATTTAGTGTTTGTCAAATTTAAAATAATGTAATATGAGTGCAGTCTTTGTGGCCACTCCAATTGCATTTTTGTTTTGTTTACTTCTGCCCTAATAATAAATAAACTGAACTAAACTAACTGAAACTAAATTTTAATTCAACCCTGATTAATTGTCCACCCTTCGCCCTTTATGCGCACCCTACATAAACGTCATTACATCACATCAATGTAGTTTTGATAATATTTTCTCTGTATTGCGGGAGCTTTGTATTTTCCAGTGGCTCTAAACTCACAAATTCAATCCGGTTTGCAAGCAATTAAGAAAAATACTGTCTGTTTTAGCCTGTTTTTAACATTCTGAGAGATTCTTCTATTTCTACACCTGTTTTAAAACTCAAAACACAAGACCATACAGTGTTTGTAAAATTTTGAATAATGTAATCTAAATGAGTGCAGTCTATGCAGCCACTAAAATTGCAATTTAGATTCAATCCGGATTCATCGTCCACCCTTCGCCCTTTATGCGCGCCCTACATAAACGTCATTACATTCTTCCAGTCAGTTCAAAGTGATGAGTCGAAATGCTCGTCTGTCTGTTCACATGTAGCGGATACGGTCAGTGGTCATGCTCTCCTCTTTGTCTGTGATCAAAAGCCTCTCAGAAATCTAACACTTGGCTGAGAGCATTTCTGTTACTGCTCCTATTGTCGTCTGTGTTGTGAGGCTTTGTTGCACTGAAAGTTACTGCTGCCAGCGCACGCCGCATCAGTGTTTTGGCCTCGTGTTGACTCTGAAATCCTACACTGCATTTGCATAGGACTCAACAGCTGGGGTATGGCCAGCCCTGCACCTGTCCCTGTGCACCTGCCTGCATCACACCTGTTCAAACGATATGTGTTTTTGATGGTAGTTATGGATGAACCAAGGCTTAGGTAAATATCACTCATTTATGACTTTAGGCTGGCGTTATTTGTATCTCTTTATTAATGGATACGTTTCAGCAATAAAACTTTATATTGATGGCTATTATGGATATTATGTTTTTACTTGTTTGAGGATTTTAGTAGTAGTAGTTGTAGTAGTAGTTATTATTTGAATTATTATTTTGAATTATGATTTATTCATTGCACACAAAAAAAGAGAAAAAATAATAATAACCAGAATGTGTCCTTTCAGGTTTTCAAAAACACTTTGAGTTGCCCTGGGTGTTATTGTGCTAAACAAATAAACTTGCCTCGCCTGTGATTAGGGCTGGGTCTGTTCCAGAGCTTGCCAATATGATACGTATCAAGATACAGGGGACTTTTTCGATATGATAAGATAAGATTGTTTATACCTATATTCTTCCCTCAATGTCATAGTTGCGCACATTACAGCAGAAAAGAAAGAAAAATGTATATAAATATATTTAAATATATACACTTCATATATATTAATGTAATTTAAAAACTATATTATATATTTCTGTTTTTATACCCTTTTTTAAAGACAAAAAACCCCCATCACAATCAATATGTATCTAATTTAAAAAGTCGTAACTCTAACCATTTAGCGCACCCCTACTATTTTCTTACACATTTCAAAAACCCAAAAATATCTTATCAATCAGTTTATTCAATATTTGAGTAGTAAACAATACACTTACATGTTTAAAAGGTAGAATGGAAAGACAAGTAGACAGTGACTGGGCTCTTGTTCGTGCCCAGAGTCAGAACTAAACATGGGGAGGCTGCATTTCAGATTCATGCTGCTAAAATCTGGAACAATCTTCCTGAGAATGTGAGACAGGCTTCTTCTCTGACAATGTTTAAAACCAAGGTTAAAAACAGTTCTGTTTAGCTGTGCATACAACTGAGGGATTTCACACTTTTATCTTTCTTTTTAATGTACTGTGATTATTTATGATGTGACTCTTGTTTTGTTCAGCACTTTGAGTTGCCTTGTGTATGAATTGTGCTGTACAAATAAACTTGCCTCGCTTCTATCAATCACAAAAATATTGGGCGTACAGATAATTACGAGAAGATGATCTTACACTGTGTTTTCTGAACTTAAACAGATTTAAGTTGTATTAAGGAAAGATACAGCATCAAGTAAACAACAGGTCGGCATCAAAGAACATGTGTTATTTTCTATTATAGTTTCTACAGAACAATAATTATACATCCCGAACTAAGTAATTCTGCAACATCAAAGCTAAAGTTAAAGCTGTCCTTGAAGTGAAATTATAAATGTTTACTTCTGCCTCTCTCATTTATGCTATAGTTTATTACTCTTTGATGTCCCCACTGCACTCAGGTTGCCTCCATAAAAACCTGCCGTTACAATTTAAACAAAGAGATTGGATCACTTTGTTGACTTGGCTTCATTATTTGTGTTTTTCTGTCTTCTGTCTGTTCAGCTGGACGCAGACGCCTTGTTTCTGGGAATGACAGAGACCGGTCTGGACTTTGGATCAGCCAATCAGGTGAGACCAGCGTATGAGGTAAACTAGAACAACAATAAAAATGTGAGGATGTTATTGTTGTACATTTCCGAACATACAACAACGTCTAGTATTTTAAGAAAACAAATCAAAATGTGGTTTATAGAATTACAATCCATAAGCACTGGAGAAATGGTTGACCTATACGAGAACAATTGTTTACAACTAGCAAAACCAGTCCATCCAAAACGTCCAATGAAACAAAATTTACTATACAAAATATTATAATTAAAAAAGGTAAAAATGTTAAAGGTAAGAAAAGTTACTATACAATTACAACACATTATCACAATTTTAAGCAGGACTAGTTACGTGCGTCCTATTAGAAGAATATCTTAAGTCTTTGGCTGTGTTTCTTTGTTCCATTTCAAATAATCTGAAATAGAGGTAGGATGACAATCTGAGTTAAAGTAATATTACAATATCAAAATGTGACAATATTAACTTCAGACAGTTCGAAAGCACTTCTGACTGCTCTTTCAGTTCATCATTTTATGTGAAGAAAAGCAGTTTTTCTGGTTACTTAATAATAATAATCGGCCTGTCTGTCCATGTGCCTTAATAGCTCTAAGAATTGGTCTGTTTTTGCTAATTATCTGAAAAATAGAGGACATAACAAATGAGGAAAAATTACTTTGTATTGCTGAGAAACCTTTTGCAGAAATCTTACAATACAAGAACAGATAAGATATCCTTTAGTTGTCCCACAGTGGGGAAATGTCATTGTTGCAGCGCACTTACAGGACAGCAGTAGGAGCACACAGGGAGCACACAAATTATTCAATCTAAGTCGCTGAATGTAAATTGTAAATGAGTGATTTGCTTGAAAATTCCATGTAATGACATTTGATCATTAATGTTTGATGTGCATTCAACTCAAAATAAATAAACACCAAATCAACTCAGCTGCTATGTTTCTTAGCTAGCTGTAAATAATCAATATACGGTCATACCATGGTATTTTAGTCAGACTAATAACACCATGGATGTTATATACAGTACGTCCCATTCCTTGTGTGATCTGTGGCTTGGATTACAGTCAGAAAACCTAAAATAATCTAATTTAATTATTTGGTTTAGAAGCAATTTTTAATAATTGTACTTTTATATGCTGTTGAAATGGTGTAAAATGCATATTGGCTTGTTAGTTATATAACAGGCTTTAAGCATATGTCTAAATATATTGATTAGCTGTTTTATTATGAGTCCTCGCACACAGCTCTCTCTATTGCATCGTTATCCTGCACAGCCTATATCCCTCCTATGAGATTATTTTCCATGTCTTTGAACTCACCTTTTGCTATTTCTGTCTTCAGTTATTTCCAGATGCATCAAGCAAACTTTTCTTCCCATCCAGTTTCACAAATCAATATCACTTACTGCCAACCTCGGGCACATAAAGCATTACAATGATTTTCTATCTGTTTTCTTGGACAAACTGCAGGAGTGAAGACGGCAAGAGATTTACCTTTCCATGAGAGAAAATAGGGCTTTAAAAGAGGCACCCAGAGGTGTTTTATTGAAGGAACTGTTGAAGAATTTCTTCATTTACACATGGCATAGGAAATAATTGTGTTTTTATCACCAGACTTTGTTTTCATATTTTAGAGGTGATGGAAAAAGGAGAATGAAAAAATTTAATAGCAATGCATTGTGGTATATTTGTGGCTTTGTTTTGGGCTGCTGTGCTGTTCCGAGGTTACACATTACACTTATTAGTTATTTGTTTTGAAACATGAACCCAAAAAGGCGTTTTACGTTGACCTGTCACCACAAATATAAAAATGTGATCGAGACCTCGCCTTGTCACCCACGACTGATCGGAGAAACTAGTGATATTCTGGTAGTGTGGATGGAAATACTTTAAAACAATAAAGTACAGTAGCTAAATAAGACCATAATTATTGTAAGCACATATTTTAAAATCACAGAAAAATTATGTTTTGTATTGAATTGTTAATGTTTTATAGTGTTGCCGTGTATTAAGTTATACTATTTTATACTCAAAGGGAAATTTGTCCTCTGCATTTGACCCATCTTAACACAACTAGGGCCTATTTGAATATACTGTGCTCATTTTATGATGATTTTGTTTTTTATCAATTACCATTTCTGTGATTGGGTTTCCGGCTGCTCTTGACCGGTTTAGTGACATCAGTTAGTTTACACGTATCTGAACCTAAAGTATAGTCTCCTGTAAATGTGAAAATGTGCTCGTGGCCAAAAACAACACAAAAACCCTCCAGAATCCTAATGAAAATACATTAACTTCTTGAAACAATGTTGATTTATTAAAAATATGGTGATTGCACATTCATATTGTGAGACGACAAGTTATTTATAGAACGGCAGTGATCTCCGGTGTTTAGAGTTGTTGTTAGTCGGATAATGCTGTTGCATTTATACAGGCCGTATTATTAAGAAACACTGTGGATACATTATTCATATGGTACAATATAGAGAATACTCTTCCATATAGGGATCCGTGATTTGATGTTTTATTCATTGCGTCGTGTCATAAGGAGAAGGGAGTGGTGTGTGGAAACTGAATTTATGGCTTTATTATTGAAGAACCATTGCTTCCATAAAGTCACAGAGGTTGTTGTGATGAATGTGGCCAATCCTTCTCAGTGTGACCCTCGTCCATGTAGCTTTTTTATATGTAAATGGGACAGTGGCTTCAGCAGAACGCAACAATGTAAAGGGAATACAAAAGCATTATAATTAAATCCAGTATAAGGTGAGCATTTGATATATACACAATTAGACACGCTGCTACTTTGTGGAGCTTCTATTTGTTTTATCGTGTTGGGTAAAGATATCATATTTACCATAGAGCAAGGACATTAAAATCCTTTCACAGTATACGTTTGAATAAATTGTGTTTCTGAATAATCTTTATCAACACAGAAATATTAAGCAAATGAAGTGTAACTTGTTCCCACTCATTTCATAGCTTCTTGTAATGTGAATTGATCCTTCTTGTATTTAATAGGTAATGTTCATGTGACATCACAACATTCCAACTAGCCTATAGTTTAACATTGTGGTGGAGGGCAGCTGAGACATCTTTCAATAGTTTAGCGACAATTTCTCTATAATCCCTGGGCCAATCCACATGGAACTGACACAAAGTTCCACATGTTGTTTGTCATTTGTGAACAAAAACACATGCATGATGTTGTCCAGTGATGCCAGACTTTTTAGAAATGAGAATTATATGATCTTGAATTTTATGTTGTTGTTACTTTTCAAGATTTCTTTCCAAAATTGCTTTCCAACATTCTTTCCCATAGAGTTGTCTTTAAGCTGTAATAATGATAATAATAATAATAATAATAATAATAATAATAATATTTTTTTATTTAACACTTTTCAAGGAAACCTCAAACAACAGGTGCATTAAATCAGAAAACAACAAGTGATGACAGATGCACAAAAACAAAAAAATACCATAAAAACAAACACAGAGGCTGCACAGACCTTAATAGAATCTTACAAGTGTTTTAATGTATACAACAAACAAGCATCTCATCACTTGTTTGTCGTCTTTGAGATCATTCTGTTCAGTTATAAGTGCAAGTGGCAAGTGCTGATTCTATTCTATGATGCAAACCTACAGACCATAACCGTGGACCACGTCATCAAATTACCCACATGATCAAATGGATGCCAGCTGTTTTTATTGTCTTCGCTCATATCATAAGAAAGTACACAGCTCCTTTCTATTTACCAGAAAAATAGTCAAATTAAATGCTAATCTTTCTCCCTATCGGCCTGTATGTATGATTAGTTCTGCGTGTTTGTCTTCCTCTTGCAGCTCTCGATGTAACCTTTTCTTATCAGGGTTTAGTTGCGTAGGAACCAAGAAGCAATTTATTTACCACCCCCCTTCCCCCAATACGCACACACATGCCCCCTCATTCTCTCCTCCACCCTTTCTCTGTAAATAAAAGTTGCCCCTCAATGTTAGAACCAGAATGTATTATTTAAGACTGTCAATAATTGATGTTTTATTATGGAAAGATCGTATCAATCAAGTTTATGTTCTCAAGGATAAACGGGAGGATGCAGTCAACACAAATAAACCAGCTCTATGTGAACTACAACACTGATGACTGATTTGCAAATAAAAGAACCAGTAGATAAATGAATAAAAGAGAATAGAAACGTTGCCAACAATGTGACTAATAACAATGAAAACCTCAAAAAAAAAATAATCAGGTGCTGCTTGTTACCAAAACCATTAATAATAATCTGGACTAAACTAATGTTAAATAGAAAGGACAAAACGGGAACTAAATGCACATATTATGCATAATCACTGTGGTATCAAATATTGCTATTGAGTATTTTTCTTTGTATGGAAATAAAGTTTGAAATTTTATATCGTTGCTCGATGTTGCTATTATATATTTCCGCTCCGACATAACTCAACAAACTAGTGAAACGAGCTGAAATACATATTATTTACCATGTCTTTCTGTGTCTGTCAAGTCCATTTATCCGTGTCTCAGTGGGCAAAGAAAAGCCTCCACTATTAGGGACAAAGCGCAGACGTAACCTTTTGTGTGACCCTCACCCGAACCCTGAACTGACCGCTGTTTTGTCTCTCGTCCACAGTTCCGTGTGCCACAGCCCCCCATGAGCAAAGGCCCGCCCCCCAACAGCGGCCCCCACAACTGGAGGAGGGAGGGAAATATGGCCGACTCCCACAGACTGCCCTGGGTGAGATTTTTTATCAATCATTACCTTGATTCTTTTTCATAAAAAACAAAACAAAAACTGAAACAAAATATCCATCCATCCATCCATTTTCTTCCCCTTAATCCATTTCTGGGTCGGGGGGGTGGCAGTCAGAGCTGCACCCAGTACACATAGCACCTGCCCCTCACTGATCCTCCTGCAGGTGGTGAGTCCACAGAAGCTGAGATCTTTCAGTTGGGGCTTTGGGCAAAGTAGGGTTAAGTGTCTTGCCCAAGGACACAACGACAGTAGTCAGCAGTGGGAGTCGTGAAGTAGGTCTTACGGTGGGCTCGAACCCACGACCTTCAGGCCCAAAGGCCAATGCTCTACCAACTGAGCTACTGTCGCCCAGAAACAAAATATTAAATATTTTGATTATTTTTTTTTTTTGAAACAAAATATCAAAAATACTAATATTGGGTGATTTATGACTTTGAAATAGTCAATCCCTTTTATGCAGATACAATGTGCGCCATAGAGCATATACACATTTGGTGAAGTGCTGGTCCTTCATAAAAAAAAAAAAAAATATTATATATATATATATATAAAAATATATAAAATATATATATATGCGTATATTAAAACAATAATAAAAAAAAAAAAAATATATATATATATATATATATATATATCAATAGTAATTTCTTTTTTAGAGCTTTGAAAAATATCAATATATTTTTTTATTTGTTTTGCGGGTAAAGGAAAAAAACAAAATAAGAAGAAAGCTGAGTTGCATTGTTTCCATTGTACACAAGCACATTTCTCACAGTATTCAGAAAAAAAAAACATATATTTGGACTGGGACAAATCTGTTGCCTTTTTATTGTATAATTACCACATCCTTCACTGTGGATTCTATTTGTTTATTTCAGTGATGCAAAAGGAATCAGCTCTTTTGATATTCCCAAAAAGTATTGTTCAGTCAAAGGGATGTATCCCGTATCAAGCAATTTTATGAAGCATACCCATGACCAGTTCTATTTTATTCTATCATATATATATATATTTTCAGATCACGTTTGAACTGCGAATGTCCCATTGAGATCCAGGGGCCCCAGGGGAATTTCTACCGCGAACCACTGTGCCGCAATATTTTCAAAACTACTTCTGTACAATTACACTTTTGTTATTCTTTGCTGAGCGTATGCGTATATTTCCACTATTATAAATCCACGACCAAACACAAATGACCATTAAACTGTACATTTAGACGAAGAAGATGAAACGTGACTTTGAAGTATCAGCCTTAATGCAAAATGACAAAACGTCCAAAAAATGGGTCGGATTCCAAAAGTAGGTCAGTCCTGCATATACATAGAAGGACCCTGCAACTCTGCCGGGGTATCAGCCACACTGAATAACTGTTATGAAGCAAGTAGACAGGCACACATTTAATACGACACTTTATCAGAACAAATCGAGAAAGTAAAGCACATTGTAAGCCACTATGTTGAGCTGACACGCCATTGTTTTCTTTACTCTCAAAATCATGTTAGAAATATTACCATAGACATGCACATCTGCGGGCCTGTAAACATACATTTGCTCGACATTATTAAGTATAAATGTTTGAATAAAATAGAGAACATTTCCAGATCAGTAACTGCCGCCTCAGTGTTCCGAGTGGGCGAAACGTGGGCGTAATTATCGGTGGAAAGTCCTGTCGCGTTTGAACATTTCTGCAATCCTGCAAACTTTCAACTTCTGCGTTACAATCATTTGAAAATTGATTGCCATTGTCATTTCCAAATTACCATTTTAATCTCTGCTCAAAAAGTCTTTAGAATGACGGCTTATGGTGCAGGATAATCAAGTTTTATGATCGCAAATGGAGACAGAGCATCCTGACAAATAAAGCTGCTAAACCACGTCATAGTGGTTTCTATGTATCTAGACACTCGGTAAATATAATTGGAAGTGTAATGGAGGAACAGCAGTTTATAATAAAACTAAAATTAGAAGGTACTTTTGGTTGGAAGTGGAAGTTCATTTTGTTTTTAGTACATACAAATTTTTAGTCTCAGGGTTCATTAAAGCCAGGTTGCCTAATAAATTATCATAAATATCTCATGCTGTTTATCCAAAGAGAAAAATTCTGTGAACAAATCAGACCACAACATTCTGTCTTCATCTTAATAGAAAACATGTTATCTTTTCCCTACTTGTAAGAATGACCCCCTGTGAGTCCCTATTTGACGCTTTGGGTTGAGAGCTGATTGGATGAATGAGGGTGGTCCTCTCTTTTTTGGTTTTCTGTCTGGAGAAGCTGATCTAAAGGTGTGACGGAGGCCAAAAGTACGTATGTGAAAGCTAAGGTTAGAGTCAAACTGCTTTGAGAGCAAGGATACGTTTTATTACATAGATCCAATTTTGTGGTTTAAAAACGACGTACCCCTGCTTTAAATAGTTATTGGTTTGATTTAGTTTTAGTTTATTTATGATAATTATGAACCCCCATAATAATAAAAACATTGGCCTATATGTAATGTATTTCTAAGGTACATAATATACCTGGTTAGATATGTGGATATGCAAGAGGCCTAATATATTTTTTTTTACTGTGTTTTTGTTTTTTGGAAGAAATCTGTACTCACACAAGCTCACCTTAAATAAGAACACATGCTCAAGCTGTTATTACTATTATACTATAATATCAGTGCATCTTTAAAGAGACGGTTACAGTCATCAACCAAAGAATTTCTTGGTCGACTTAATATATGCCCAGTCGGTTGCGGCACAAATTCTCCATATGTAATATGTATCTCACCTAAATTGTACTCACAATACTTTTGACATAAAATCTCACAAGAAATCACTATTAATAATTATTATTGAATTGATAATTGTGGATGGAGAGATTGATCTGGTTAAATACAAAAAAATCTTCTGATGTTTGCCTTCCCCCTTAGACATCCTTGTAATTTAGATAAAACTAAAAAGTTGACTTATACAATTTTAGCTCGACTGAGAAAGACAAACAGCCATACCAATTTCCTGCTCTTATTTTGATTAACAAGTTTCTACTTGTTGGACAATAGAGTGCATTATGTCTGCATGTGTCAAATATGTATGTTTGAATATTGGCCTCTTCCTCACGAGTATCACAAATCTAATTGTTGCGAAAGTTGTGAAAAGACCTTGAAATATCGACATGCAGTAATATGGCATGTCCTTGTGCTGACAAAAGCTGATAGTGGTGTAATGTACAGAGCAGAAATGAGCCGTAGAGTTTGTGGGAAGTGTTTTAAATGTGAACACGCTGCTGTGAAAGAACTTAATCCTGCCTACATTAGTTGTGCTATAAGCCCCCGGTGCAGAGGGAACGGCCATTGTACAGAGTGAATGGGAGAAGAGAGAGAGGAAATTTATGCACAAGTTCAACATGGAGAGACAGACAACACTCAGGAATCTAGCAGCGCTTTGAGGAAAGTGTTTCTCTGGAACCACTGGACTCTGCCATTCCTAGTTTTGTATTAAAATGGAAACATATTTAAGGGCGCATTCACACTTGTCGGTCTGGTTCACTTTAACTGGACCAAGTCTGGGTCACTTGGGAAAAAATGCTTCACAGATCTGTTTCCAAAGATGTAGACTTAAGTGACCAGGAGACACATGTCCACTTGTTTGGTGGTTTTATATCCACAAATGAAGACTTTTTGCCCCAATTGAACCGGAATTGCTCTAGTTAAAGTGCAACTGTTATTGTCCAACTAATTAGGACGATAATAATTTAAGTCAAAAATTGCTCAAAATAACAGACAGTTTGCCAAATTTGAGCAATTTTTGACAGCCCTAAAATGAGATTTGCCAATGGGACAAGTAAAAAATATTTGTTTTAAAGATACAAGCAATGTCTCCCTTAGAATGAGAAAATAAAGCATGTTTTTGAAATGAGACTAAATGGCTTGTTCCTTTGGCAAAGCTTGTTTTCAATCAATCAATCAATCCTTTAAGTCAGAATGCATGCAACAACAAAAAACCACTTGATTAAAGCAATTATTACCTAATATTTAATCATTTGTTGCAGTGTTAGATAACTATTGGAAAGGTGCACTGTAATTATCTGTGAATTATCATTAGTGTTCCTGAGTTTTTCTGAGATTGGGCTGTTTAATCAACTAATTGATTATTATAGTATTGTAGAGATCAAACTGGGTGGCACTGTGGAGGATCAGTTGTGGTTCACAGCAAGAATGTCCTGGGTTCGATTCCACCTCTAGACAGGGCGCTCCTGTTTCCCCTACAACTAATAACATGTAGAATATTTCAGGGTGAACGAGTGTGTGTTTGTGAGTGAGAAACAATGGGTGGAAATTAGCTCAAGGCTAAAATCTGGTATTTTCACAGCACCTACTGTTCATTACGTCCCATTACACAGAATTAAACATTTGGTGATCTGCAGTAATGAGCTTTCATTACAGCAGGTTAAAATCTGCAGGGTTTAACTCAATATTATTATAAACTATTACAAAAATAATATCCAAGGCACTTTTTACTGGATTAATTCATTTTATTAGTAACTGGAAGTGCTATTTCTTTGGCCAAGCATTGAACCACAATCAGTTGAAGCAGGTGAAGTTACAGGTGCATCTGTGGAAAGAATAGAGGTTTTTCCCAATGTTTTTAAGTTAATTTTGTGATTGAATGTTAATAAGTAAAATTCAATACTGAGGAGCTTTCCAACATAGAAACAATATTTCAGTTGGGACAAACAGGTAGCAAAGATTGCGTGAAAGCATTGATGCAGTTTAATGTGGTTTTGATTGAATTGGCTAATGTGAATGTAAAACACAGTTATGTCACCGCAGCCAAATTAACTGTGCCTCTTGTTGAAATGATAGAGGGCATTGTCCCAGAGAAGATACTTTGTCAGCAGTTCCCATCCATTTACATGTACTGCCCTGAGTCATCAGCATGGAAATAGGTCACTATACAGTACGCCCATATATGGGAGCGAGAAGCAGAGGCACATGAACTCAATCTCATGTTTAAAATGTCCGTGTCAACAAATACATCACACGGTATTAAAATCTTTCCATAAACATGGTTGGAAGTTTGCTCGAGGCTGGTGGAAGCCTCTACAACATTCACAGTAATATACAAACCCAAGAAGCATGCCCCAAATCCATTTGATTGGCTGTGTATCCGGCAAGACAAAGAAATATACATTACTTATGGTTGGGTTTGTGTGTCTAGTTGTTTTCTTAGTTTCTGTTTTGTGTTTGATGACTGCTCCTATTGTTCTGTATGGGACCATAAGGTGTATGAGTGGTTGGTTAGCGGTTGTAATCTCATTTTCATTTTATTGATTTGTCCCATACTGGGATTAGTAAAGGGCTGCTGTAGTGTGAATGTGTCAGCTTGACTGTGTGAAGGTTGTTGGAGAGACCATTGGCCTGTCATTAGTAAGTCCTGGTCATAAGGACCAGATTCTGTTATTTGTGTTCAAATGTTTGCATGGATTGGCCCCTCAGTATCTGACTGATCTGCTTGTGCCCCACACTCCGTCACGGGCTCTAAGATCAGCAGACCAGGCTTTCTTAGTGGTCCCTAAGACCAGAAAGAAGTCGAGAGGGGATCGTGCTTTTGCAGCAGCAGCTCCCAGACTGTGGAATGGTCTGCCTCTCCATATTAGACTGGCGGACTCACTTCCTGTTTTTAAGTCGCTTCTTAAGACTCATCTTTTTACTGTGGCTTTTAACTCAGTGGGTTGACTTTCTGTGCAAATTGTATTACTGTATATGTTTCTATATTATATTGTGTTTTTACTTGTGTTCAGCACTTTGGTCAACTGTGTTGTTTTTAAAGTGCTCTATAAATAAAGTTATTATTATTGTTATTATTATAACATTGGACTTATATACGCCTTGGAGTCCCCCCGGACGAGCTGGAGGAGGTGTGTGTGGATAGGGAAGTCTGGGCGTCTCTGCTTAGACTGCTGCCCCCGCGACCCGGCAACGGATGAAGCGGAAGAAAATGGATGGATGGATGGATGGACTTATATATCGTGCTTTAAATGTATGGGGTTAGATCAGAGGTGGATGATTTGACAAGAAATTGTCATATCGTGTTAAAAAAAAAAGTGTTAAATTATACCAGTATAAATGGTCTCTTTGTTTTACATGTTCTGTTTTGGGGCCCAGATTAAAAGCTAATGCACCCTCCTGGGAGTTCCCTTTTACAAAGCACTTACAAGTCATGGGAATTAGCAAAGTGTATGGACTTGTTTTGTCAATAAAGTTGAAAGTACAGACAGGGGATTTTTATTTGATTGTGATTCATGTAAATTCAGCATCATCCCATCGCCTTGAAGTGCCAACAGAACCATCTCCTTACAGCCTGACTTAATTCTTTGAGACTCAAAATAAGAGCCTAATTCTAGCTTCCAGAATTCAAAAGAGAAGTTTGAATTCAACAAAACCAAAGCTAAAAATGAATAAATTTTGATAAATAGATCAGGCCTAAAGCTCTAATATTCCTTGTGTCCCATATTATCACAATTATGTGTGCAGTTCTTCAAATGGCCAGCAGTCATTTCTGTTGTTTATAGTTCTCACTGCACATTTTCCACATCTAGTCGACAACACAGCTTCTATGGGTGATACCCCCCCAAGGTGCAAAGCATTATGGGCAATGTAAAAGTAGCGAATTCCGAATACGACATTATATTTGGGAGTTTGCGTATGACTAATTACAGCCTTTGCGATTTGATATTTGTAAACTTTAGCTGCAATATTGTTTCATAGAATTTTTAGGTGAGCCAGGTTAGTATAGTCCTGCACCTCCCAGCACCATTCTATAGGTCAGCACTAGATCATATACGGAATCGGGACGGAAGCGGAAGTAAATATAACAAACTTACCTATTCATGCCTAAACTTAACCAGCCATTCCCATAAAATAACCCCTACCCACCCTTAACCCTAACCTTAACCATCTTACACCAAAAACTTAAACAGTCACCACTTAAGGATTTATTAGTCTAAAACTAATTTGAGGGTAGGATTGTTACTTCCGGTTTTGTCCCGATTCCGTATATGATCTAGTGCCGACCCTATTCTATAGTGAATAATACTAGTAATAATAATAGTGAATAATATACGGCAACAACGACATTGACCAAGAAGGGGAGCATGAAAAAGTGGATGATAGTGAGAGATGAGAGAAAAATAGAGGATCAGATTAGAAGAGGATGACTATAAGGAGATGAAGAGTGAACTTGGAGAAAGAGCTGGTGTGTCCATCGGAGCAGAAACGCTGTCAGTGTCTATAAAACCTCCCCTCTGTCAGATTAGTCCGAGAGACTTTTCCTTCACTCTCCTCTCTCTCTGTCCACATCATTTGTCTTGTAAAAATACATCAGCATGGAGGCACTATTCATCAGAGCAAAGAGGGTCGTTTTAATGCATTTTGTGTCCAATGTTGTTTTTTTCAGCGGGACAATCTAAATATAAATTGTAGTTAGAGTTTAGTGCACAGCAGTATACACTCCACTGGCTTCTCCATAAACACAGTCACTCATTGTACATATACCCAAAATAAAAACTAAATATTTTGAATATTTTTAAATATCATGTGAAATTAAGAAAAAAGGATCTGAAAATAAAATATAATGTTAAAAGTTCCAAATCCAGAGTAAAAAAATAAATAAAATTCCAGAACTGAAAACGAGACAGGAACAAATGTGGTGGAGATAATGGACGGACAAGGAGTGTGGAAAAGCACAGGGTATAAATACACACAGGGAGACACAGGTGACACACATCAGGGCGGGGCAAACTATCAACAGGACAGATGGGAACCAATATATGACAAAAATAAAACCAATAAAAATAATCAAAAAGTCATCATCATGACATAAGCCATAATCATTGAAATTATACTGAACAATTTGTAGAAATAAAATTAACTTTTTAACAATACTGTAATTTTCTGAGTTCCACCTGTATCTGGTTTTATTATATCCACTTTCTTATATATATAGTTAGTTTACTTGTAAAGGCTGTGTTCTCCTAAACAGAAAATTTATAAAATATTGAGTCTATATCACATAAAATGAAGGCTTTTCTGCAATGCTTATAATTCAATGTATTTGTAATTCAATATTGTTAAAGTGAAATATTGGCCTTTGCGGTTGTTTCATTGATCTTTATCTTCTGTAGGTCAAGTAATCTTCAAATGTATTTTTGTTGTTGTGGCTTTTTCATTGACCACAACAGGCTATAGAAAAAGTGCTGCTATTTCTGATGCGCCCCCTCCATAAAAAACCCCCTTCTTTTCAAAACCATAAAAGTGTTACAAGCACCGATTCTGCTTAATGAGACGAGAACACAGTATTTTACAAAAGCCACAAACATTTAGACATAACATTGACAGTATGAACTATGAAGGACACGGTGACTTTATTCTCGAGGTCAGATTAGATTTTGACTACAGGTTCTTCAATAAAACTTATGTCAAGTATTCATTTATGGCCCTTACCTGCTTGACAGATCTCAGAAGCTAAGCAGAGTGGAGCCTGGTTAGTACTGTGATGGGAGACCAGTGGGAGTACATGGTGCCACAGTGGGGCGCAGTGGTTATAAAGTGCAAACTATTTAACGGGACAATTCACAGCAGGGCATACAACTGACATCATGATTTTTTTTCTTTTTCCTGTTAATTATTTTGACATTGCATTATTATTACTGTTTTATTGGCTATTTTTAATTTATTATGCTGACTATGCAGCTCTTTGAAAACACTGTTTTTGAAAAAAATCATGTTCACACAGCAGCCTGGGTATTCCCAAGCTCGGTTTACTTTATCTTTGTCAATCAAAATAGTTTCTTATGTCTTTATTTTTAGTTAACTACAAAAACATACAAACAAAATTGACTATTTTGTAGACAAAAAGGTTGTTTGACACTAACCCTATTCTTACCAAAATCAAGAACAAGATCCAGTTTTAACCATCCATCTATCCATTTTCTTTCCCTTAATCCATTTCTGGGTCGGGGGGGTGGCAGTCAGAGCTGCACCCAGTTCACAGAGCACCAGCCCCTCACTGATCCTCCTACAGGTGGTGAGTCCACAGGAGCCGAGATCTTTCAGTGGGGGCTTCAGGCGGAGTGGGGCTAAGTGTCTTGCCCAAGGACACAACGACAGCAGACATCAGATGGAGTCGTGAAGTAGGTTTGAACCCACGACCTTCAGGCTCAAAGGCCAATGCTCTACCAACTGAGCCACTGTCGCCCCAAGTTTTATATTTTAATAGTTTTATTTTTATATTAATTTTATTTAATATCCACTGAAAAACTTGGTGATTTCTGCAACTAAACTCTCACAAAGTTTAACCTGCGTTTCCCCGTGTGTCTTCTAGTCTTACCCAGTGGGAGACGATGACTACAACATCCCGCCGCTGACTCCGCCCACTCTGCCAGAGCACATGATGCCTCCACATCTGCCCCATGAGACCCCTCCAGGCTCAGGGCAGTACCACTCGCTGGACCCCCCTTCTGCCTCCGGACCCCACCACCACTACCAGCTGCAGGGGCTGGACATGGGCCGCATGAGCTCAGGGCAGGACGGGCGTATGTACAGCCCAGAGGGAGGCCCAATGACCAGCACGCTGTCTGTGGTGAGTCTGAGTGATGGATAAGATCATGTACTAACCCTCCACAGGTTACACAGCCGTATGATAAGAAGAAATGTAAGTAAGTCTTGGCCCAAGGTCTTTACAATTTTGGTGTTTTTCCATTATCTCCACACATGGTGATTGCTCGAGAGGGATGCACTGAAGAGAATAGTACATGCAAACTCCACACATAAAGATCCTGTATGCACACAAATATGCACCTGAATAATAATAGAGTTAGTTTAGTGCGTGTTCCCAAATGTGATATTGATAAATAGGTCAATATACCGTATATTAAATCCAAATATACAATTAAAGAATAGAATTGAAAGAATGATTTTATTTCCATGGAAATTACACAGGTGCAGGCCACAAAGTTATAGACATATACTTAAATAGATAGAAAATAATATGTATTTAAACATACTGATGTGAAATTAAAAATGAAAGAGAATGATAGAAAGCTGCCATAGTTCAGGTTTTTAAATTATTCTTAATAAATGACTTAAATCTCTGTATACTTGGCTATACAGAGCTTAGTGCCAGTAAACAGCAACATTGGCCTGTAACTTTATAAATGTAACCATCCAACTTTTAGTCAAGCACTCGCTGTGGTGTTTCGGAGCTGACAGCAGATGGATGTGTCTGCTCTGAACTCTCTTCTCTGTTTCTGTGAGCGCAGTGAGAAACAGGTTGTTGCCCGGGGCACTGTTTTTGAAGGCCAATCTCGGCACTGGGTCGACGTGACATTTTCTTTATATTTAAAATCTTCATTTCACAGTAAAGCGAAAATGTTGCTTTTAGTGCTGACATTCAAATGTGTCATACAGTAAAGCTCAGCGTTACTCAACTACTACTCGTTTTACTCAGAAATGAAACTTGCTCACCTCCCACTGCTGCTCTTTCAGTCTGCTGAGTCTTATCAAATGAAATATCTCTCAAATTGTTTTTCCTCACTTTCTCTTATCGCTTACAGAACTTTGTGCTATTTTGGCGTCGTAGCTTTGTCTCATTCTTGTGGTGAGCTTTTGGTTTTGTTTGTTCGGGACAATAGCTAGGAGATAACATACTGAAAGGTCGACTGTGGGACAAGGACAACACAAAAAAACCTCAAATTGCCTGGATGTAGGAATGACCCCATAAGTCTGAAACATTTGAGTTCGTTTGGGATCACTTTAAATCATATTTTAAGTATTTGTGCATTATGGACGGTCACTTATCGCTCTATTCAATTACAAGTGGTGCCATTGCTTTTTCTAATCAGCATCGGCCTTCATAACAACACATGATTGATATTGCATTTTTACAGTATGGACGTAATTATTAGAATTATTCTTGATTTAAATGATGAGCCAAAAACATATTATATAATATAGTAAATATCAAATTATGTTCAATTATTTCCGGATAAATGGGTACATATTTTTTGATTAGATTTTGATTGCCAAATGTATTTTTCATTTCCTATTATTTTCCGATTACACTTTTGTAATTGGGGTCAATATATAGAATCCAGCCCAATGCTAATTGATCGGCACGATGGCGCAGTGGTTAGCGCTTGTTCTTCACAGCAAGACGATTCAATTCCACATCCAAACCTTTCTGGGTGGAGTTTGCATGTTTTCCTTGTGTCTGAAATGTGGTCTGTGAGCAGCGCTATAAAAATAAAGAAGGCTTACTTACTCGCAATGCCCATATTTGTTGAACAGTGCTAGTTCCTCCATAACCCCCTCTGACTACAATTACTATACTAATTTGAAGCGTCTAAACATCCTAAGTTAATGTTATTGTTGTGTGTTTAAATAATGATCACTGATTGTAAATAGCTCATGTGTAAATTGTAAAAAAAGAAAGAAAAATGAACCTGAGGGAATCCCCCACGACCCCCACTTTGGGAACCACTGCTCTATAACCTACAGTATAAGTCTTTTTTATCCCAATTTTTCATTCAGTTTCACCAACGTACAAACACAGACTCAGTTCTGGGTCAAAACACATCATTCTTAATATTAGAATCCCCTTTTCTGTGCGTGTTTCAAAGCATCATCTTCATTTTAGATCACATTTTCTCAGTCTTTTACAACACTACACTAAACAGTCATATCTTTTCTCTCGGCCTGATGCCTCCTCTCTCTCCATCTCTGTTTTATTTCTCTGAACATTTATTGTCGGTTCATGAATTACGGTTACCAGGCAACCGCTCAGCTCGGGCCTAAAGGGGTAGGGCCCGTTTATATCACGCTGTAGGACTGTGTGCACAGGAGGTATTGTAGTCGCACTGAAACCGGACTTTTAAATGCGTCTACCTTTGGAACTACAAAATAATGACAATGTAATAGAAATCCTTGTGACTTCAGTAGTTCCTACAGCTCCTAAAATGTCTTGGTTCCATCCCTAGTTTTTACATAATTTTATTCATCAAATGATATAAAAGGTCTATTTGTAACTGAAGTAGCTTTCACTGCACTCTGTTCACATTATTAATAATCACATAATCAAGGATAAAATCACAAATTACATGTTATTTGTGTGTCACTCAAGAACTAAGGCAAAGTATTCTCTTTTAACTGAGGTTTTTACACGGCTATGTAACAGAAAAACACATCAGGTTGATGCTAGGATGTTGGTGGATGTTTTCACATTAATTTTTGGTCTTCAGCTCAGAATTTTCAGTGAAAAAGAAGAGTATCATGCCTTACTCAGCCAATCAGCGCTGAGTATGTAAAAGGTTTTCTAAAAAGATGAAGGTAGCATGTTATCTGATTTGTTCATAAAATATAACTTAAACTAGAGTCTTCTTTTCAAAAAAGTTAGTTACTCCAGCTTTAATTGGATTTTTACAAAGATTTTTGCTTTATTCAATCCCTTTTCAAACCATGTACAGCTATTTTCTGTTTTATTATCATGTTCTATTTTTATGTGAGAAATTGTTTGTGCATGTTTGAGATACAGATGTAAATGTATGAAATGTCAGTGTTGCATCACAGGTAACAGAGCAGTAAGAATGAGGAGAACACAACACAACTAGCAGTGAATATTAAGTACAGCCCAACTCTTTGTCAGAAAAATAATATCTCAGCTCCATTAGGTTCCACACATTAGCCTAACTTAATTAATAAGGCAAGACAAGACAATTGTCAAAAAAACAAGTTTCAAATTAAAACTTATGATCCTTGACTTGGGATTTATGCAGCCGCTAACCCTTGTGATTTAAAGCTTACTATTGTCTGTCCTAACACACAAGTCTGTATTCTTTCAGAAAACATGTGATTTTTTCTATACTTGAGCCCTGTGAGTCACAATTTGACACTTTGGACTGAGGCTGCTCTTCTCTTTTTCACTTTTCTGATCAAAAGATGCGACAGAAGCCAAAAACACATGTGATAACTAGTGTTTTGAGAGTGCGGAACTAGTTAGATATATTTTATTACATTACCCAGTACCCTATTACCCTACTTCACATAGTTTTCATAGAGTGAAACCTTCCTCTCTGGCTGAACTTTCTCTCTCTTGGGGTTCCAGTATTTCTTGTCTCCAAAACCCTCACTTCATTAAACTGGGTCGTTCTCGTAAAGTTAACATGTGCCTGTTCTCATGAAAATTGCAAACGTAAAGTAAAGATGTGTGTTTTGGTTGTGGACTTGAGATCTGAGTCATTTGGAGCTCTCATGCTCGTGCACGAGAATTCTGAGGATTCATTCTGAAATATGGTCGTCCACCACCACCGCTAAGATCACAGCAGTCACACGGGCAGAGCCTGAGTCAGCACATTTTAGTTTCCCATGTCCTTTTCAATATTATTTTTACTCTTTATCTTTAATCCACTTAATTCAGCGTATAGATAGAACCAGGGCTGGACTGGGACAAAAAAAGGGCCCGGGCATTTTTTCCTTTTTAGCGGCCCAGGCAACTCAAAAGGTTCAAGGAGCCATATTTGACAAAAAAACTAAAAACAACATCTGTCTGGAGCAACACAAAAAAAAAAAAGCGTTGTATAAGGCTTATATGAAGGTAACAGGGGCTGAAGCTGTATTAGCTACATTAGCCTAATATCTAAATGACAAAGTAAAGGCTACAAACACTTAAAAACCATTCAGGATTATCAAATGTGTATTTTCATTGCAGCGTGTCCTGGAGAGAATGACGCACTACGTGACGACTCTGCTTTAAGTTTAACTTCAATTTTTTTGCCTTCATGAAATTGTACAAATACAGTAAATAAATCTGCTTTTTGGCTCCGAGTTCACCTGCATCACTGTCTGTTCATATCGATCACAGGCTGAAGTTTGCTGGAGCTGAATGTCCTTAATGGCCTTTGCGAAAATATTTGAAGTTTGAAAATAGGTGCTCTGACCTTATGATGAATTAATCCTTCAGTGAACGGTGTTTAAAGCTTCATTGTTCATTATTGTTTTCATTACATCGCAAACATGAAGCAGTCCTTCCTCATTGACTGAAAGCAAATGTTCATATTCATTCTTAGTCCAGTCTTATCGACTCTCTCTCTTTATCTTTGGGATCCATGCGCACACACAGTCTATAATGCACACATGCCGGTTTGTTTACAACAGCGGCCGCCTGGCACGGGGCCGCGTCACAGGATATGACGCACTACGTTGACAGAAATGCTAAAATTGAATATTACTTATACAAGTTTTTGCAGCATTGAAAAACGTCAAGAATGTTTTTCCTCCTACAGAAACCACATTGAAACTAGAAATAAAATATAGCCCTCACACTCCATTTTCAGACGTTTTTTAAATGGCTCCAGGAGTCACTTTAGGGGCACTAAAGGTTGACCCCTGGTTTATACAGTATGTGGAAGCAAATACTGTAGAGGATCAGGATGTCTGCAGTTTCAACAATAAAATAAAGTACAATAGTCTACATTAAACAGAGTAATAAACATGTCTCAGAGTGAGGGAGGTGGGCACAGACAATACTATATTGTTTGTTACAGGGATGAGAATTGGTAAACGTTTCTGAAATGCATATTGTCAGCCATTAGCTGGCTCTAAATCTGTTTAATATGTTCACAACATTTTACTTTTGGGCTCAAACATGAACTTTTAATGCAATGGAAAATGTAGGTACCCGAGCTTTAATTTAGAGGAGAGGGGAGACGCGGACTGTTTTCTGCAGCGGTGTATTTATTGGGTGCACAAATTACGAAAAGACATGCATGGTCCTGTGCGCGTTTATGGTCTTGGGTACATGGTCAGACAGACCGGCCCATATATGGGCATCGGCCCTTCGGGCATTGCCCGGTACGCCCGATGGCCAGTCCAGCCCTGGATAGAACCCAGGACATTCTTGCTGAGAAACGAGAACGCTAACCACTCAGCCACTATATAGATTACTATTGCAATAACAAACCATCAGCAGAGTAAAACTAAACGGTCTCAGGATGGTCTAAAAAGTTACTTGCACCGTGGGCGGCACGGTGGCTGAGTGGATAGCACTCTCGCCTCTCAGCAAGAAGGTCCTGGGTTCGAATCCCGGTCGGACCAGGGCCTTTCTGAGTGGAGTTTGCATGTTCTCCCCGTGTCTGCGTAGGTTTCCTCCGGGTACTCCGGTTTCCCCTACCACTAAAAATATGTCCAATAGTTCTAGCATGCGCCTCCTGTACTGGCGACCCCGTTCCCATCTCTGTGTGGAGTGAGAGACAAATGCCCAGAAATTAACAATTGTAAACCGCTTTGAGACTCAAATCTGCAGTGAAAAGGCGGTATATAAATAAAGATTACTTACTACTTACTTACTGAACAAACAAACTTTTGCCTTTAAACTTTTCACTATAACTATGCATGTAAACTTTTGCTGTGACCCCATAATTTCGCTCGTAAACCATTAGCGATGGAAACTACACACAAGCATTGATTTGACATTTACCAAAGTCTTGACCCGACTAGCACCTAAACCACAATTATTATTTCTGACTGTTTCCACCGGTTCAAGCCTCAGCCTCAAACCTCTTTCCGTGTTCAAAAATGTCACTCTTCGTTCCGTTTAAATACCACAGTTTGAGTTCAGTGGCGTCTTCCAGGGCGCTGAGCCACATCCGATCAGAAACTACCAGCCTGCGCTAATAGAAATACTTCACATTTGGGTAATTAGGTGTTGAAGTTCAGTGGTGGAATTGTAGCTTTTGTTTTCTTCATAAATTGGATGGAGAATCTCCAACTAATCACACATTTTGGTTAAATGACTCATAACAGACTTAAAAAATGAAATTACAGAAATCTCTATTAAATGACATTATGACGTGTTTGGTATTTTTCTCATGGGTTAAATGGCATTTTCATTACTTATGCCATTACAGGTAAAACTAGGAAAATTAGAATACTGTTCAAGAGTTCATTTATTTCTGGGATTCAACTTAAAATGTGAAACCAATAGATAATTTAAACTGAGTTACCAATGCCAAGCCTTTGTTGGTTATCATTTAGATCAGCCATTCCCAAACTCAGTAACACCGAGGCCCCCTTAAAAATCTGACGGGTCTGCGTGGCCCCCCAAAATAATAACCAAGAAGACAACATTAAGAATAGGCTCTTCTGGTTATTTTATTTTGGGGAAATAGCCTCTGCTACAAACATTGTAATACAAAAATGATTACAGTGGATTATTCAAGTCAAATAATGAACACAGATATTTTAATATTACAAACAAAACATTATAAATTTAACATTAAATAATTATATTATTTTTTTATTTTTTTTATGACCTCCCGCGGCCCCCCTGCAGTACCCCCGGACCCCACTTTGGGAGACACTGATTTAGATGATTATGGCATCATACAATATTCTAAGATGTTCTATTTGTGGTTTCAAAAGCTGTGAGCCAATCATCAACATTTTAGCATTATATATCTCACTTTGTGTGTAATGCATATATTTGTTTCACTTTGTAAGTTGTGGCTCAGTTGGTAGAGCACTGGTATTAGAGCCTGAAGGTCGTGGGTTCGAGCCGACCACAAGACCTACTTCATGACTCCCACTGATGACTGCTGTCGTTGTGTCCTTGGGTAAGACACTTAACCCCACTTTGCCTGAAGCCCCCACTGAAAGATCTCAGCTCCTGTGGACTCACCACCTGCAGGAGGATCAGTGAGGGGCTGGTGCTCTGTGACTGGGTGCAGCTCTGACTGCCACCCCCCCGACCCAGAAATGGATTAAGGGGAAGAAAATGGATGGATGGATGGACATTGTAAGTTGAATTACAGAAGTAAATGTTAGTAGATGGAATGGCTTTGAACGATATTTGAATCTTCAGAGTTCAGATTAATTTAGCATTTGTACAAAACAAAACAGAGTTGGTAATAATGAGTTGGTAACAATTAAGTATTTATCCCAGAAAAATTATCAACCTTAGTAAAGCCACTTTAAACTTGTAAACTTTGTCCATGTGCACTTTCCTATTGGGCTCCATTGAGCTAGCGGTTAGCATTGTCCATCTATATAAAGTCAATGGCTTTACAACGACGATTCTTGTAGTAAATAACATTTCTCATATTATCATTGTATTAGTTTAGTTGTTACTTTAGAAGGACAATCAACAATTTAGTAGATTGATTGGGTTGATTTTTCCGTACGAAATCCAACTTAAACATTTGAATGCATGACTCAGGTGCTGCGGTGAAACAACGGATGGTTCTGTCTGGTCACTTTATTTCCAGCATAAACTATTTTCTGACGCATTAAAGATGAATCACACTGGAACAAAATGAAGACTTCAATCTCCCGTCTGCACCTGTGGCCACGGATGTATTTTCTTATTTTCTGCTCTCAAACCTGTATACCTCGCCTGATAACACATCATCAGCCTCTTAACACGGAGGGAAGAGTGTTATAAACATATGGCATCACATTTTCCTGGTTTTAAACGCTCAATAAATCCATACATGTAGAAAACTAGAAGCAACATTCTTGAGTAGAGATTTTTGTAATAAATACATTTTATTTTTGTATTATTATAATTTAATCAACACAATTATCAATGCAAGGAAAGGGGTTTGGATTTGGAGCATACATTGACGCACTTAATAAAAGTTTTAAATATATTGATAGATTTAAAGATGTATTCTTTATCTATTGTGCCAAAATGACTACTTCGAATCCAAACTCAAAATACTTACACCCAATCAGTTAAGCTGCATGTCTATAATAAGGTTCATGTTGTAGAATGAACACACGGGCAGATACCAATACAATTCTATGGGAAAGAAGCCATTTTTTAAAGTAAAGTTGAAAAAGGAACTGTCCAAATATTTCTCCAGTTCATTATTGGATCATGATTAGATTCACAAACCTGTCATATTATTCTCACGTCTAAATGTCCATTCTACTTGTCCACATCCTGAAAATGTTTTTTGAATATTGTCACCACATCTAGACGCCTTTATGAGAAAATAATTAGTCCATTGTTGTAAGGTACTGACAAAAAATATGACATTTGTGGATTGGCCCAGGAATGACAGAGAAATTAGCTCTAAGACTGGATGTTTCAGCTGCGCTCCTGAAGAATTTTAGACTCTAACCCTGACAAAAGGTTCTCGAATAAAAAAAAAAAACGTGTATCTTCCACAGATGCAGCAGATGGTGAATTCGGATTCGCGCTTCACGAGCAGTCAGCAGCCAATCGAAGCCGCGCTGGGACCGAGGGGCCAATCAGGGATGAACCAACACAACCCGCTGTCCACCATCAACCCGACACAGCTCGGCCCCAGCAGGAACGCCATCATCCACAACTCCCCCTCTCCTCCCGGAAGTAAATCGGCCACGCCCTCCCCCTCCAGCTCCGCACATGAGGACGAGAGCGAGGAGACTTTCCGGGTAAGAACTGTTCCATAGATTCACCCGGAGTCTGTGGTTCTTCGTCTGGCCCAGTCTGGATGTGATCAAACTACCCCAGCATGGTTTTGATGTTGAGCACTGGTTTTCATTCCAACCAAGCAGGAGCACTCAGTCTCCACTCATTTACTCAGTTCAGTTCAGATTGTTTATTTGAGCTCAAAGCAATACATGCAGATACAAAAAAAAAAAGACAATCTTATATAAGTGCTATATAAAGAGCTCAAAAGAAGTCCTTGCATAATTATTAGATGAAGTGTTCCAAGTCAAGAGAGTCCAGTCTTAACCTGAAGACCTGAGAAAAGGGATGGAGTCCTGCAGCCACACCAGTCCTTTCTGGAACTAGTTTGACATCCTGATGCAGAGGATAGTTTTTGGTCATCAACTTCTTACAGTTAACCAATTTTAGCATTATACTTGTTATGAACATGCCATTATCATAAATGTATAATTGACACTGACCAATCTCGTGACAACTGTGACAATTCTGACCTGAGAAGCTGCTGTGAAACGTTGTTAGTGAAACCAACACGCTCCAGACGCATTAGATAAGCCTTTCTTCGTTATCATTTTTTTGGATTATGGCTTACAGTCCATTTCCAAATCTTCTAATTTTCTAAGATTTTTTATTTGTCGTTTTTACAAGCTGTGAGCCAATGATTCACACTATGACATAGAAAGGCTTGATATTTGTCGCGTCACGTGTAATGAGTCATATAGGCAAGTTTATTTGTATACACACAGGGCAACTCAAAACAATCAATCACACAAGGCATCGAAATCATAAACACTCGCAAGAAAGATTAGTTCCACATTAAGTGGTTGAATTACAGAAGTAAATGGACTTTTTCAACGATATTCAATTTTTTGGAGTTTCACCTGTATTTTCAGATTGATAAAGATGTCATAGAGAAGTAACAATATATTTAATATGAGCAATTTACATGTCAATCCAGGGACGCCTCAGGATTCCCCGAACTGGAGGAAGTGTGCGGAGAGACCTGGCAACACATAAAACAGAGGAAAATGGACACTATTTTGTCTTTTAAAAATAACTTATAAATTGGGTTTGGAGCTCTGTTCCAATATTCTCTGGGGGTAAAACTCCTGTTGACCCACTGAATGTAAACTTCCTTCTGCTGTGACACAATTAAAATCAATATTTTGGTACACAATACTAACTTTTAACACACACACACACAATATGCCATAATCTGAATTTGCAGCAATAATGAAAAAACTAGACCGCAAAATTCCACTGAAAATACTGGCATTAGGTTTATTTAGATTCGGCCAAAATTGTAAATTGGGTTATGAAGTTTTCTCCTCTTTGTCCTAGACCCGCAGTTATTGAGAGACACTCCATCCTCTAACCATGACAAAAAGAATTCTTCAAAAAACATCAAATCAAACTTATGCAAATGAAAGATCTTACACCAAAGTGCTATGTTTTGTTTCCTTACCGCACAGACATGTACTTGTGTATAGGAGTGCGTAGACAATCATTATGTTAATACTGGGTGTCATAACGGAGTCTTTCTCTGGGAATACGAACGAGATGGAAATCAGCTCCCAGTGTTTTTGTGTCTCGCAGAAACAATACTAAACTGACTGTTCGTATTACGGCGAAATGAAACCATCACATTACGGGCTGAATAATGCCGCACAACTTTATCAGCACATTTCCTATGCATTGAAGAAGTAAATGGGAATGGTATCACCCTCGGCTACACAACAGACACCATTACCCGCGGCACATTTGTTCAAGAGTCTTTGTGGTGTCACTGAGTAAACAAGAGAAATGTGCTCTCACCTTTATAATGCGCTGTTTGGATTTTAGTACGACAACTTCATGATGTATTTTAATTGTTTTTTTTTTTCTGCAGGGATTTGTTTTAATATAGAAAATGGTGTATATCTTAGAATACAACATACAGTATATGCTTTAAACCGCTTTCAACCCTAGAAGAATTCTTATTTGTTTTGCCATATTTTGAGCCTATGAATGAAAACAACACAATTTTTTACCTTTTTACTCATTGTTATTGGTTTTGTGAAGCCGTATATTGTCAAGTAATAGGTTTTATATTTTTGAATGATAATGACAACAGACACTCAAGTCTCAATCGTGCAGTGCTCAGTTGCGAGTATTTCCCATTCAACATATATTTAGCTTGGAGTCCTTTGTGGTAGTTGTGAATGAGGTTCTGTATCCTCTCTGATGGTAAAGCTGCCTGTAAAGCTTTTCTGTAAATTCCTGAGCCGCCTTGCATCAACTGCATGTTTGAAATCTCCACAGATTTATATATACAGTATATAGATCATGCTACTCTCATGCTGATAACATGTACAGATGTATACGCACAACTATATATTCTGTGCACTGGAATACACAGCATTTTATACTTGCTCCATATTCTGCTAAAGTCAGGGGTTTTTGTACTTAAGTCTTGCTTCTTCATCATGCTAAAGTTGGAGATTTTAGACTTGTTTCCTTATTATGCTAAAGATTTTATTCTGCTGTGGTCAGATATTAGTGATTTGAGATTTTCTTGTGTTTCTTTTTTCTTAGTTGATCCAGTTTACTTTAAACATTTAGAAAACATGTTTATTTGACATTATATGGCTTCACACAACCAACAATGAGGAAAACAATGTAATCTATGGCTCGGTGTGTGAACTTTCAAGCACAGCCTTTTGAGCTCAGTAGATTCAAGTGATCAGGGTCAATAAGTGATGCATTGGTCATTTATACTGAATTAATATTGGTGATAAGTATCAAAGTGCACCTCTCTTTACGCAATACAAACATTTGAAATACTGATGCCGATGGAAACTGACCATTAAACCACATGGCACTGAATCTCTGTGACTCTGAGTATTTCTAGTGTACATATGATATGCAACAATCCATGTTTTGTATTGTGTTGCAGGTGAGCGGAGAAAAGAGGCCAGCAGGAATGGACATGAAAAAACCCAAAACACCAAAGAAGAAGAAGAGGAAGGACCCGAACGAGCCGGTGAAGCCAGTCTCGGCCTACGCCTTGTTTTTCAGGGACACTCAGGCCAACATCAAGGCCCAAAACCCCAACGCCACATTCGGAGAGGTGTCCAAGATTGTCGCCTCCATGTGGGACGGTCTAGGAGAGGAGCAGAAGCAGGTACGTCCGATTTTTTGGCTCATATCTTACATTCTGACCTTGTGGTGATGACGAAGGGATCTTATGTTGTTCATGTTTCAGGTGTACAAGAAGAGGACAGAGACGGCCAAAAAGGAATATCTGAAACAACTGGCTGCTTACAGGGCGAGTTTGGTCTCACAGGTAAATAGAACCTCACAAAGTAACAAATAAGTGGATTTATTTGAATACATAAACAGTTCGACGGGTCATGGTTGTAACTATGTGAATAACGTTGTGTTTTCTGTCCCTTGCAGAGTTATAACGACCCCTCAGAGATGAAACCCCCTCACTCCTCCACTCCCCCCTCATCCTCCTCTTCCTCCATGTACAGCCCCAAACCCCCGGTGTACCCCGTGCACCCGGGACAGCACCCCTCCGCTGGGCCCCACTCTCTGCCGCCTCAGCACCCGGGCATGTACATGTACCCGCACCCCCCACACGCCCACATGCACCCGCAGCTGCTGTCCTCCAGAGGCACTGTCCCCCGACCCAGCGGCCCACACCAGGGGGGTCTGGGCGGGGTGGCAGGAGCTCCGACACCCCCCCTGCAGGTCAGCCCTCCTCTGCACGGACAGGGTCACCTTGGGGGTCTCCACAGCCCCCACCAGCACCAGCAGCTCTCAGGACACAACATGGGCATGAGCCACACGTCGGCCATCGGACAGGTAAATCCCTATGATAATAATAATTTAAAAAATATTTGTGTTCTACATCTTAGAAAATCCAAAAAGAAAAAAAAAACATTGCTTTCTTCAAGGAGTGAATGTCAAAGGGATAAAATATGGATCTAGTTATGTCAATCAGCTGCTTTCTCTCTCTTATGTGATAACAAAGTAAGAGTAGTTAAAAAAAAGTTTTCAGTTCAATTCAATGTATTTTTGTATAGCCCTAAATCACAACAGTAGTTATCTCAAAGGACTTTACAGAGTTGCTGATTGGCCAATATCACAGATTCTGTGATTCTGCCATATCACAGAATCAAACAAACACAGGAAATGATAAAATGATAAAAACCACATAGAGCCATTGGTCCATAAGAGGCAGATGACCACTGTCCATAAATGTGAGTAGATAGAGATTGTTGGATCCTGGATCATCACTGTCCTTAGAACTTCTTGCTTCAGATTCAACATTGTTATTATGGCAACATACATTTGCAGTATTTGGGAAGAAGTAGCACATTTCTTGGTTTATAAGGTTGGTGGAAATGTGGGTTACATGATTTCCATTCCAGAATTTTCCATAAATGGAGTAGATTGCATTTGCTCCACACAGTCACTATTATTTATTATTCTAGTGTTAATATCTAAAATATAAAGCTAACAACAGTGTGTATATAAACTGGGTCTTTTAAAACAGTGGGAAAAGTTAAAATGCATAAAAAAACTGCTTATTTGCTTATTCCACCAGTATATCTTTTAAACAGGATAGGATAGGGTGAAACACTGCCAGTTATTTGTTGGTCATGGAAAATTTGTAAAATGTAATAAACCGGTGAATTGCACTTGAAATAATATAGTAATATAGCTTCCTGAAAATAGTGGATATATTGATTATGTGATATTAAAATTGTTTGATATGGTTTAAAAGAAAAGACGTGTATTGCATTTGCAGCAGTCTCTCCTCCCTCGAAAGACATAACAGTTCATCTAAATGAGGAAATAAGTCTAAATATAGAGCAGTATTAGTAAACACTTGTTATAAGTTAATTTAGATAATCACTGTGTGTGTTTGAAATACACCAGGCTCTTTATCTCACCATCAGAGGCTGTCTGTCAGTCAATCAATGAGTTCATCAATTACCCACTCCACCTTTGTGCTGGTTTTATTTACATGTCCCTGGAGAGAGTTTGCTTGTCTTGCTCACAACAATGACGAAAGAGAACATTCTGACCAATCAATATCAATTTTTTTCTAGCATTAGGGTGATAAAATAATGTCACGTTTACTTAGCGTTCACTTCAACTGGACTGATGCTGGTTCACTGCCGCCAAAATGCTTTATTTGTGGGTGTATGACAACCAAACAAGTTAACATGTGTCCACTGCTCATTTTCTACATCTTTTGAAACTGATACGTTAAGTTTCCCCCCCCCCCCCCCCCCCAAGTGAACCAGGCTCGGCCCAGTTCAAGCGGCGAGGGTTGCACTGGGATGTCCAAACAAGCGCACAAACTGCTTCTTTTTGCATTCCGATTCACACCGTTTTAATCCCCTCCTTGAAAATTGCCACAGCAAAACTTATATAAAAAGATAGAAGAGCTTATTCCAAACTTTTTTTTTTCTTTTTGGGGAAGAGTGAGACTGGTTGGGGGAGGGAGAGATGGGGGAGATGGGGGGAGACAAAGGAGGCAGATGCTGTCTTTGTGAAATAGTGAAGGGGAAGAATTTGCCCAACAATGGATGAATAGGTGAGGTAGGAGAGGCGGGAGGGTGCACCCAACCACCTGCTGTCCCGGGCCTTTCTCCTCTTTCACCAGCAACACTCAGATTAACTTCCTTTTCAAAAAAAACACACGCACGCACTCCCCCACCACTGCATATATGTGTACTCGCCGCGGTAATAGTAATAATAACATCTCCACATAATTACCGATGCCGCTGCTAAATGTGCATCTGCATCCTTTCACTTAGTTTGTCATTATTTTGCCTTTAATTGCACATAAACGGAGTATTATGTAATCGCTCAAGCACCTGGGGCATGTTTGCTTAAGTGACATGAATGGAGCGCTCCTGTGTTTTGGTTGTGTCCGTTCATATGTTAAAATTAAAACATAACTTAAGCACAATCAATTGGTGTATTAAAGTATTATCGTATAAGTATTTTCTGAAGTAACATTGACAAAGACAGGGCTTTAAAGTTCTAGTAGTATAGTTTTTTATGTATTTATTTGAATTGAAAGCCTATGAAATCATTTAGTGCATTACAGTAGTTTATTCAAAGTGTATTCCACCCCGGGCCATTCCCATGACTTGATAAATAGTTGTTTCTCTGTATCATATACGGACCATTAAGTAAAGTCCTCTCTCCACCAGGGCTACCAGTCTGAGTTCCAGTCAATGGGAGGAGGGATGCTGAGCGGCGCACCTGTGATGTCATCATCTGTGGACTACCACCAGCTCGGACGGCACACGCCCGGACACCACCCGTCTCTCGACTGGAGCAACGATTACCATGGCAACGGGTAGGTGAGGGATCCTGGATGAGGTTCAGTATTTCAGAAGTGAGGGTTGCATTGATCTGTGTGGGTGAGCGGGTATAAATATATGCATACAGTAACACATATATAGTATACTTATATATAATACATAGTCCCAGATTATATATTTTAAACAAACATATTGAGGTCTTATTGGACTTTATAGATAATAAATAATAGAAAAGATAATCCAATGTGCTTCTTAGTTCCACAGAAATGTACAGCAATAACCACATGCATTTAAATCTATAACAGGTTGGAAATACAACATTTAATGAAGTAGATGAAGTGTTGCAACAAACATTTATTTTCATAGTTGATGGGTCTTTTTCTCCATTTGTCGAGTATTAAAATGTTTCTATTAGATATTGAGAATCTACCTTGAGTTCCAATCTTGAAATTCTAGATATTTATGAATAAAGTATTATTATTAGTAACATGACGGTGGCACAGTGGACAGCACTGTGCTTCACAGCAAGAACGTCCTGGGCTCGATTACACCTCCAGACGGGAGCCTCTCTGTGTGGAGTTTTTCTCTTGTGTTTGCATAAGTTCCCCCTACCACTAAAAACATGTATAATAGTCCCCTGTAACACACCGTCCATGAGCCCACTCCTGTCCCCCCTCTGGGGCCAGGACTGCCCGGAAAAATAGATACTGAAATCTCAGTGGGACTTTCCTGGTTAATACAAAATGTGTATGTTTTGATATAGTACTATCTTTGCTATAAAATTATAGTGTTATGTGTGTAAATCTCTCTTTGGTCCAGTTAGTTTAATAGTGATTACATTAAATAATGATCATAAACAATAATATAATAATCTGCTTCAAAGCCTGGTTAAATATAGAGCATTTGATCGGGAAGGTATCTGACCTCACGTCCTAAGTATGTCATTCAAAGATTACAATGACGACATTGTTCACAATATACAATTGTCATACTGTTGCTACTACACCTCCTCTTTGTCATGGTATTCAGACTTGACAAGTTCCAGTTGTGTAAATTGATTTTGTATCTGCTTTCTGCTTTGTATGTTTGCTCTAATCATATTCTAATGCTGCGTTTGTCTCCAGGGGTCTTCAGAGAGACAAGCCTCTGTTCCTGAGTTAATCCCACATCAAACAAAGTGATGCCAAACTTCACCCAAGCCCTTTTTACTGCCACACCACGAAAACCTCCAGCCTCAAACTGACCCCAGACCAGCCCGCGGGACCCGGCACCTGCCAACAAATCCATAAAAGAGAGAATTCACGGGACTTGTAAAATAATAATGGTTGGGATAGTGCATACAAGAATAAACCAGCTTTTTGGTTTATGTCGTGGTATCAATAAACTACAGAGTTGGGGAAACATAGCAACTACATTTTAAAGTGGGAAGCAAGACAAATGGGTTGTTTGATACATTTTGATGGTTTCGGTCTGGCTCAGAGCCTCTCCAAAACTAGGAGTGTTCTCTGTCTGCAATGGTCAGCATCAAAAATGGAAAACTGTTGATAGGTGATGCACTTCGGTAGTAAAGGAGACTATAATGGGGTCTCGGTTCACTTCAAATCTATTGGCTGCTCAAAGCTAAATGCCAAGAATAGTCTCTCAGTATACCGCTTCTTGTGTTTAGTAGAAATATTGCAAAAAAAAAAACAAAGAAATAACCTGGGAAATATACTGTTTGTTAGCTATTTTTTGGTAAACTGCAACTATTTCATCATTTAGGACTTCATTTCATTAAAACAGGATAACATCATTCACCTATACGTGAAACAACATCGTAGACCAACCAATATTTTTATACACCCACTGTTACCAAAATGGCACTAATTCCCACCAGCTCCTGCATGTTTTAATATGTATATCAAGATACATTGGAGCTGTTTTCCAATGAGGCAACTTAAAACTATTTGTAAATATTCAACCCTTTCCCTGAATTTCCCTTGTTTATCAGCTCCCCGCCTACCCTTCAAATCCCCCTAATGTAGAGATGGTGTTTCTCGCCATATGTCCCAAAATGCTCCCAAGAGCAGCTGTAAAATGTTGTATCATAAATGTTTTAACTGTTGATTGAGGCCAGTGAATCCATTGTTGACATTTTGTTGCTGTAGTGTTTTGCAGCCATAGTTTGAAATTACTTTCTTTAAATAAATGGACATATTTTTGTTGCCATACGATACAAAGAGGAGAAATTACCGTTGCTTAATTTAATAACAATGACCAACCAAAACATATTGACAAAAAGTGGGATGGCCAGCCCTTTAACCTCCACTCTAAGCTTTATAACTTGGGACCACAACAAAGAATAGACCGGTTTTGAAGCATAGACTGTATATCAGGTCACCTTCAATGATTGTCGAAAGGGGAAGAAGCCATTTTGAGCATTAGCTATCCGGAGATAATTTTTTATATGGGCATTTATTGTTCTGACGGTGTTAGCTTGTCGCCGTAACCAGAGCAGACGTGCAGCTAAGATGGTGGCTGAAGCAAGCTGAAGGCATCTGATTGGTCTATCCTTATATGGCTCAAATTATTAGCACCAGAATCATAGAAAGCGTAGCCTTAGCCATCCGTACAGTCCGCTCAATCATCATTTCTCTGCATGTAACGTCTGGGTCTGGTCCCTGTGTTAGCGATTACAATTGGTTGAATTCCATCCGACCAATCATCGAGCGCGGGAGGCGGGTGTTGTAGTTAGATGTGGGTGACGTCAAGAGTTTGCGTCGAACGGGAAGGTTGTAGTTTGGCAATGGCGAAAAAAGCGATAGTAAAGTATTCTAGTCTGGTTCTATCAAGAAATTGAAGCCGGAGCAAGAGGAATGTATAGCAAAAGTCATTGCTGGCAAAAATTGTTGCGCTGCTCCCGACTGGCTCCGTTAGCAGCAAAGGAGAAAGCTAGGCTAAATGCTATATGCTATCGACTCACTCGGGTGCATTACATACGTGACGGTAAACTCAGATCCAATCGTTTCAATCTGCAAAAGGAGTTAACCCCTCCCACCTGTAAACGGAGCTCAAGGAGCACCTCCAGACCTTAGTACGAAATGTAATTTGTACTATGCTGTGGTACGACCAGGCTATAGAAAGCGCTTAACCTGATATTTTTTCAAGCCCAAATAAATGAATGTGACACAAACGTTAACTGAGTTAGAAGGGTTTACTTTTCAATGTTAGTCAATAAGAGCCAGAGCGAGTTGGAGAAAAACTTTGCCCATGAGCACCTCCCCATTGGGTTTCATTGAACTAGAGGGTCAGCATCTGTATACAGTCTATGGTGTGGAGTCTGCATCAAATTCTCATTACCTTGACATGTCACACTGTTTTGGCTGGTTGTCGAATCACCTCCAGCTGTTTTATTTCCTACCAGGCACCAACTGTGAATAAACTCTTTTTCAACAACTCACACTTTTCACAATCCCACTGTATTTTAGTCCTTAAAACAATAAGCCATCCAACTATTATTTCTTCAGTGGGAAAAAAAAAAGCAGCGTTGCACCATGACAGCTCCTCCTCCTGGCATATGTGGATATTGATTCTGATCCAAACGATGTGAGTGTGTGAAGTGTTAATGAGAGACTGAATGCATGGGCTCCTTTTGTCATCTCTTTTCTCTTCTGTGCAAAGAGACTATTTAAGAAACTATAATTGTTGCTGGGTTGGCTGTAATTTTAATGTTTTTAATCACGTTTTTTGTTTTAGTGTTAACCATGATAATGATGAGAGACGTCTAACTCTCTGGCTCTGTATCTCTTTGTATTAATGTGTTTTTGAGGCAGATGAAAGGACTCTGGGTTTAACAACAACCATGAAGATTTTCTTATTTTTAGATTCTAATAATAATGTGTTTGAGAATAAAGTCAGTGCTGCATTGATGTGCAGTCATTTACTCCAAAGCCTGCGTCTTTGATTTTTATTTATATATTTGCATATTTTGGTTTATTTCAGGGCCGTGTGCGCCTCACCTCTGAACACACAAACGACACGGTGAACTGTGAGATCCCATTTTGCATCTTTTAGTGAAAACAAGCTGCAAATAAAAGCGTTTGAGGGGACATTGTTTTAATTTGTTTGTTCTGATCTGTGCTGTAGATCAGGGCTTGTTATGATGGGTAAAAAATTACACCAATTATGTCCAAAAATAGAATTAATTAGTACGATTTTATCAAATGCCATTGATCGTTCACTTTATTTTTTATGTTTTATATGAAAGCTGTATTATTTTCATGAGCGTTTAACCATGTTCCAACATTGTTTCCTCACAAAAAATAGACCTGGAGTCGTTTTGAGGTCCATCCACGCTAATATCAGGAAAGTCTGGCACAAACATGTGACCCCGCCCCTTCTGTCTAAAAGCTCCTGTCTCAGTCCTGTAAAAGTATTCTCCCTGAATTCATTTAAGCAATTTCTCAAGTTAAACAACATGTTTGTAGCTGATAATTTTCTAATTTAACCAAAAAAATAGAAAAATAAACTCTGGTGGTAGCACAGGGAGTTACAGTTGGTAACAGATGTTTTGCCTTTCATACTTGTTTCACTATAGATTTTCTGCTTAAGATGATATTTCCATTCTAAAACATGAAATGAGATAGTAGATAAGTCTCAATGTAAATTTTAATGGCCAAAACATTATGCATATTATTTATTCTTTAAAGTTGGGGTACCAAACCTTTAAACCACAAAAATAGAACATCCATCCATTTTCTTCCCCTTAATCCATTTCTGGGTTGGGGGGGGTGGCAATCAGAGCTGCACCCAGTTCACAGAGCATCAGCCCCATAGCCCCACCACCCCCAAAAATAGAACAATTAAAGGAAATTCAAAATAGTATTATTTATATATAAAAAGATAAAGTTAGGCACCCCAGTTGTAATGTCTTGCTCTACATTTAAAGCGTTGTGTTCCAACCATCTCAAGCTGCAGAACTTTTCAATTCTATCCCTGGGAAAAACACAGAAACATGCGAGACCCACCTGCCAATCTGAAAGAAGAATATTTCCCTGACAATAATGTTGGAAGTGAATGTACCATACTTTTTCGATCACATACATAATTCACTATTGTGCACAATGTACCTCCACCAGTTCTAGGTTTCTTCTAACAAGCAGTGCATTGACTGACAGCTGTTATAACCGAACCCAGCAACTATGTAATAATACATTAACCCATTATTGCATTTGAAACAAAACAAAATACATTTTATTTATTGCCATTTTCATTGGCTGCTCTGTGCCTGATTGTGGCAAATGTGTTTTAAAATGTTCACCACAGCAAATCAATTAAATATATTTGGGGAAATAAGCTGTGTATCAAAGGTGCTGAGGTTACTACTGTCCAGTCTATATTTTGAACATTCATTAAAACAATTATCTCGCATTATCAGTTTTTCTGGAACTCAAATTTCTGTGTGAACTTCCTCCTCAACTAATTTGCTTATAAATACAGCAACTTTGCACACGTTTTGCAAATGATAGAGAGTGACATTCTGAGTCAATTTTGAGTGGAACAGTCAAAATGTGAGTGTAGTGCGCATAGCCCCAACAAGTAATTTCCTTTTTAATTTCATGTGTGTATTGGTTAAAAAGGAGGACGTGTGTGAAGAAGGCACATTAGCATCTCACAGAATGCCTGGGGTCACTCACACAGAAGAAGCAAAAACAACTTGTAGGTGGCATGGTTGTGCTCTTTTAAAAAAAAATGTTTTGTTTGTCTATCTACCCAAGACCAATGTTTTTTTAATGAGGCAGTTCCCTTTCAAAAACATGGTGCCTTTTGTCCAAATGAATATGCACTAAATGTGATTCTTTTTGATTAATCATCTTATACAGTAGATGCAATAGATGTTTGGTCATTTCCACAGATGAAGAAAAACACCATACCTATAATTGAAGTGTATCTCAAATTGACATAATGGATGTGAAATAAGGCAATGCAGTTTCACAGTGGTCTGAGTGCTATAAATCATACATATGTTGGGCTCTAATTGCATTTTTCAATTTAAAGTCATTGGTAGCTCCTCCTCGGATACACACTGCCCCCTAATGGTACCAAGAAATCATGCAGGTTTTGTTTGAAGATGATACAAAGAAGTATTGAGACTGTACAGAGCAATACTGGCCCCCAGTGGAAGACGAGGTATGGGAAGAAGCAGGTTTTATGTTCAAGTCATTTAAACATAGTTCAATTATTGATATTCATATTACCAGGAAAGTCCCACTGCGATTTCAGAATCTTGTTTTTAGGGGAGTCCTGGCCCCAGAGAGAGGATGATGTGTGTGTGAGAGTGAGTGAGTACACTTGGAGATAATGAGAAATGAGTCTGTGCTAATTAGTGTGAATTCAAAAATCAATAGTGCCATTTGTCATGATTGTTTGATGTTTTATGGTTTTAAATAATAACACCAGCCCAGGCACTACAGGTGGAAATTTGCTCTTGGACAAAAACCTGCTTCTGTGCATCTCTCCCTTTGAGGTTAAGGTTTATTGTATGCTGTCCCTGTCGGCCTAAATAAATAAACCAAACTCAACATGTGTTTTGGCAGATGGGCAGAACATGCAAACTCTAATCAGAAAAGCCTTGTCTGGAGGTGGCATCAACGTACCAGTCAAAATTCCCAGAAAACACACAATAGATACAAACATGTGGATGGAAGATAAGAAATTAAATATACATATGTTTTTCTATGTGTGTATATTCCAACAGGCCAAACATATAAGCAGTCAATATTTTGCTTCTAGAACCGAGTCTAATAGTGAAAATGCACATTTGTAACAAGGCCTAGGTCCTGTCCAATCAGTGGGTAAATTCACTCGATGAAGGTTTGTTAAGTGTAAGTTGAACCCGGGGTAGATGCATTTAGAGGGAGACAGCTGTAACCCAACACATCGCGAATATCCATCCTGACGCCAAGACAGAAACTTGATACAACAGAGCAGAGAGCAGGTCAACATCACTGTTGATTTAGGCTGATTCACTGCTCAAAGTCATACCTGCAATATGCAATACACCCCTAGGTAAATTGTGCCGTAATTTATGTCATAGGATGTTATATAGGCCTATACACTATATAGCAAAACCACGACCCGAAGCTTTTTTTCTCCCAATAACCCCAATGTAATTTTTTTTTTCCTATACCTGAGATATGACTGTCTTATAATACATGTTGATACAGAACTAACAACTGTTTCAAAAATAATGCTTTCTTCTAATTCCATTATGTTGTGAATGACTGCAGTAAGAATCACTCCAACTGTGCACAGTGGATTTGCAAACACAATATAAAGCAGATGGTACAAACAGATTTATTTACTTTTATGTATACCTAATAACCAATCACAGCTTTATACAATCTCCTGGCACCCTGTCTCCCATCTGCATAGGTTTGTACTGTTTTCCCCATGTCCCTCTCTCAGCCTCAGCCAAAACATGTTATTTTTTCCCCCTCCAACATTTAACAAACATGTCATCGTATTTTCCTCTCCAGTGCGGTAAGAGGTCTGTTCGTTGCCTTCTCAGGGATCACCAGCCTCAGTTTCCTTTTGGGTGAGCTGCCTCCTCCTTCAGACATGTATTCCTGTTGTATGAGTGCCGCCGTGGATGCAGTGTTTTCCATCGACTCGGTGGGAGAGAGGACATTTGATACAGACACATCTGCTCCCTGTGTGGCACCTCCAGCCATTACCCCGGCGATGGGTAACTCTGCTTGTGTTACAGCAGCCAAAGCCTCTTCATGCATGGACTCTGTTAGGCTTGCATTTGACATATTTTTAACCACGGTTGCTGCTGGTGTATTTTGGGGTATTACAGCATGACCACCATCAGCCACTGTTGGGGTTTGACTTCCTTTACGCGGCGATGTTTCCGATGTTACCTGATTTGTTTTTGCAGTATTTTGTGGCACTGGTTCTTGGACACTTATGGGTTGTCCTCTTGGTGAAGCTTTAGGAGATGACTTAGGTTCAGACTGGGCCCCAGAAGGTGTTGTAGAAGACGGAGGAGCTAATGTATTAAGGGCTTGAAGATTTTGCGAAGAAGAGTTGGCCGTCAAAGTAGAAGGGCTTGTGTGTTTTGCAGTGGCGCTCGCTTGAGAAGTAACATTTCCAGACATAGTGGCAGTGGTAGCTTGTGTCACGCTATTATTACTATGTCCAACTGTATTTCCCTTTGATATGGTTTGATTCGCTTGTAACTGATTAGCATTAGATTGAAATGTGTTCGAACTAGCCGCTAAAACAGTGGGGCTGGATTGCGTGAAGCTAGCTGGTAGAGCAGTGGAAGAAGCTTGTAAAGACAAAGTGCTAGGATTGGCTTGATTCGTGGGTATTGCATTACTTAGGGATAGATTTGGGCTATTCATAAGTCCCATTATAGGGGTTCCACCTGGACCCATACTAGGCCCACTCAAATTTATATTAGACCCAATAGCATTAGCCATGGGAAACATTGGCTTTCCTTGTGCTGTTAAGTTGCCTGCTTGGAAGGGGAGGCTACCCATGGGTAACTGAGGTCCCGATGAAGGGAGTAGGTTGTTAGTACGATTCCCTAAAAGCATACCCCCTCCTCGAAACTGAGCCCCTAGAAAGCCTTGCATATGTGCCATAGGATTTGAGGGAGCAATTTGAGCGACTACTTCCTGTACGGGCTCTTCTTCGCTCGGCTTTTTCTTTTTTTCTTTCTTTTCTTCTTTCAACTTTTTTGACTTCCTTCGATCTTTGTTTTCAGTTTTATCCTTACTTTTTCTAGAGCTACTTTTCTCATCCCCTTTCTTCTTTGGGTGGACTTTACTTTTGCGAAGTGGGTTCAAGTTGAGTTTGACTTTAATTTGCCTGTTGGCTCTCCCGTCGGGATGTCGCTCCTTCCCTCTGGGCGATGTGGTTTGCTCACTTTCTCTGTCCTCTCCTTGACCCCTTCTCGGACTGTCGAGAGAAAAACTAACATTGCGAGTTTCTTTTTTCATATTTCTCAAGTCGAGGTCACTGTAAAAGTTACTTCTTCCCCAGTCTCTTGGTTGTTGTACATTTTCTCTTGGAGGGAATCTTGCTTGACGTGTATTTTGGTCAGTTTGGTTTGGCCTGAATGTCCGATGGCAGCTCCCACAATGCAGCTGATCCGGTCTGTTCTGTCCTTCTATGTCAAGGCTGTTATTACCACCTGAATGCTTGTTCACTGCTTCCCTTCCCATGATCCTTTGCTGTGGTCCAGTCCTCCTTCTGTCCTCCACAGTTTCAACTCTTCCATTCATTCTTTCCCATCTGACAGGGTTTGGGCCGTGTTCTTCTCCTCTGCATTCAGGACAGTGAAACTGACCCCAATGGCCCTCTGTCCGCGGTGCAACAGGAGCACCCATTGTTTCGTTTCCATTAGGAAATACCTTCCGTTTTTCAGCAACATCAATGTGATTTCTGTTCTGAGGGGTCACTGTGCTGCTTGCTTCTTCTTTGATGTCCTCCCGATTTAGTTGAGTTCTTTGTTTCTTCTTTTTAGACGTTTTATTGTAGATCAGGACAATCAACAAAGTTAAACCGACACCTCCTGGAAAACATTAATAATTTTTTATAATTTTTATTTATTTATTTATCCATTCCTCAGTCACAGTCTTGCACCATTGCCCTGTTCTGTCTGCACTCAATCTATGAAACCCTCTGCTGTGCGACATCAAGATACTCTCAAATGTAAAACGTTTTTTTTATGTTTATGTATAAAGCTTAGGAGGTTCTTTTAATAGGACACAATTTTTTAAAGAATCTAGCACTGCTTATTATTGCATTTCCTATGATCTAATGGTTTGATTTTCTAATCTATTGTTGGCAAATTGACAGTTTTGTAAAGTCCCCTGAGACGACTGCTGTTATGATTGAGCGCTCCACAAAAATATATTGAATTGAACCTGTTTGCCATGAGAGACCCTCCGAGCCCACATAACTCCAATCCTTTGGGAGCATCTAATCCAGGCAATATAAAACAGAGACCACACAAGAATTATTCCCAGAACTAAACCTGGACTAGATGGGACTCAATATAAAGCTAAGTAAGCTTTAACTTTTTTTTATTCTTCAATATTGTTATTAAAAAATAGCGGTTATTTTTTAGCTACAATATGTGATGGATTAGATTACATTGATTGACAATACATATAAAGCACATTTAAAAACCATACAAGTAAACATTTACGGTCTGACCCCAGTGGGAGCTCAAAACTACTTGGCCGTAATAACTCCTTCAAATAAATAGCACCCGTAGAGTATTTAAATAAAAACAATGAAACATCTAATTGCATTCAACATAAAATATGAAGTTGTTTTTTGTTGCCAAACTAGTCTCATGTGCTCCCATTTCTTCTTTTTAATCTGCAGATCAACTGTAGCAAAGGATTTGTGGCTGAGGTAGGGCGATCTCAGTTACCAATGGGATGATATGCTGTCAAATTTGATTCAATTTCATTAACATAATTTCAAGGTTTTTTCGTGTAGCAAAAAATATCAACAACAGTCGTCTCGGAGGACTTTACAAAATTGACTATTTGCCAACAGATCAGAGAATGTAATGATAACAAACACATATAGTAGGAGCCATTGGTCCATAGGGAGCGGGATGACCGATGTCCAAATATTATAACATCCATCCATTTTCTTCCCCTTAATCCATTTCTGGGTCGGGGGGTGGCCAGAGCTGCCACCCAGTACACAGAGCACCAGCCTCTCACTGATCCTCCTGCAGGTGGTGAGTCCACAGAAGCTGAGATCTTTCAGTGGGGGCTTCAGGCAAAGTGGGGTTAAGTGTCTTGCCCAAGGACACAACGACAGCAGTCATCAGTGGGAGTCATGAAGTAGGTCTTACGGTGGGCTTGAACCCATGACCTTCAGGCTCAAAGGCCAATGCTCAACCAACTGAGCTACTGTCGCTATAACAAATGTTCTTAAATGTTCCGGATCATGACTGTCCTTAGAACCTCCTGCATCGGCAAGGAACCCAGTTTAGGCCAGGTTTGTAATCATATCTAAAGCAATGGCCTTTTTAGTAATCAATCACCTCGGCAAATGTGAATTGTGTATAGTCTGCTAATCTCTTTAGTATCATTATTGTCATAATTTCATACTAATAGTACATAAACAGTTAGCCACAGAAGAATAAATACCAGCGAAGCAGACCACTCCAGTGATGGCCAGATCTCGCGTGTAGAGCTGAGCGGTGATGCTGCCCTTGGAGTCCACCCTCACAGTGATATTCTGATTGGACGGGACACAGTTGGCTTCTGTGAGCTCCAAAACTGTGGTGACTGCAGGATTATCAGCACTGGCACACACCATCCTGCGGCCATTGTACAGAGTCTGGGGGGAGACAAGCAAGAGAGTAATTATGATCTTTTAATTTGATTGTTTGGCGCATTGACTGGCATAAAGCTGGTAAAAATCCGGAGCAAGGATAAGAGCTGTTCCACTTCCAAAATTTACAATTGTGTAAGTTTGAGTCACAAAGTCAGAAAAAAACATATCTTTATGATTGTATCTGACCTTATCTGGCTGCTGGATGAATGATGAGAGGAAGGCAACGAGATCCAGCAGTTGACAAGAGCAGTTCCAAGAGTTCAGGTCTAAATTCAGCGTGTCCAGCCAGGTTAGGTACGAGAAGGCCTCTTGGGGGGCGCTCTGGAGACGGTTCCTCGATAAGTCTAAAGTCTTCAGAGAAATGAAACCTCGAAAACTGAAAACACAATACAACGTTGATCAAGAAACAATTTAATGCTGCTTTTATTCAACAATCGTACACTTCTTCGTACACAGAGCTTCCTCTAATATTTGTTCACCTTATAATCCACGATATGTATATTTTTCTACACTCGTCATATGTTGTGTCTAAATACTGCAAAAAGGTGATAAAAATTAGGTGAAAAAATGTCACATTTTGACTTCCTTAAAACAAGATTTGCCAATGGGACAAAGCAAAATTATATTGTTTTAAAAAGATACAAGAAATGTCTCCCTTGGAATGAGAAAATAAAGCAATAGTTTTTGAAATAAGACTAAACAGCCTGTCCAATTGGCAAATCTGGATTTAACACAGTCAGAATGCACTCAAATAAGGATAAAAACCACTCGATTCAAGCATTTATGACCTCATTTTCTAATATTTTTTTGCATTGTGTGTGTGTGTGTATTTATGTAAATTAAGTGTTTTATTTGGTTTTTCACTTATCTATGAATCTATGAAGCTTGAATTCAGAGTTTTGATGTCTTGCAGATTTGATACATCTTGTTAAGCTAATTTTGTTAACGTGTTAAACCCTTTCTCCTTTAAAATGTCTTGATAATTGATAAAATAAACACAATCTAAACTAATAATGCAGGAAAGGCTTTGACCGTCGAAGAAAAGAACTTTGCAGCTTGACACAAGTAAAAAGAATGGGTCCATGGCACACTGCAAAAAACACATGACGCCTACACTTTTCAACACTAGAAGTGTCACCAGGGAAATTTGGAATAAATATAATAAATGGAATCTAAACATAACATGACATACTGTAACATATAATAAATAAGCTGTCTGCCTAAGCACCACCAGTGTTGCATGTGCCACAGTTTGAGAAACGTCAAGCCATACGCTCGTTCTACTTAAATCCTTGGTTCATTTCTATTTTTGTCTCATGCTTTCCATGATTAGTTCTGGTTTTGACTTTAATCCCGCTCTATGAAAACAGTAACGTGAAACCCATGGACTCCCCTGCAGTGGGAGTTTACTCGATCAATGAACCTCTGTGCATGTGTTTTTCCTGAATACATTGATTTGGTGATCTGCCTGAGCAATGATGTAAAAGAATGCTACATATTCAAACCTGTTTTTGTCCAGATTTTCAATAAAGTTATCAGACAGATCCAGACTTTCCAAAACGCGAAGACCCGTCAGCGGAAAAGAGCCAGAGTCCAGCCTTGTGATCTGGTTTCCCTCCAGTCTCAATATACGTAAAGATGTTGTGCCTTTGAACAAATCCGAGTTGATCTAAAAAAAAATGTCCAAAAAGAGACAACAACAAAAAATTCAGTAAAAGGTTGAATATACAGGAATCTCCGTGAGACCAACCGTGTGGATGCGGTTGTTGCCCAGCGCCAGGACCTCGAGCAGGGGCAGATTTGTCAGAACTCCCCCCTCTAAAGCCTGGAGGGTCAGCCAGTTGTGGTCCAGCAGTAAAGTCTGGAGAAGAGGCATGTTTCTGAAGGAGTTCTGATCCAGAGCGGAGATACGATTGTGACTCAAACCTGGATGAGTATAAAGGATTTCATTATTCAAGGTTTTGGTTTGACTTCAGCTGCTCAGTGTTCATTTATGTCTGAAAATATACAGTAGACAGACATTAAATAAGGTAAGATAGACTTTATTGATCTCACACAGGAGAAATTTACATGTCACATTTGGCATGGATAGAAGCACTCAAGATTTGTGCAAAAGAAAGAAGTGTGCAAACATGCTAGAGTCTTTTCAGGATATATTATGTACAATAAATAAAAGTCGCAATTAAAGAAACAGTGGCAATAGTAGTGCAGGTTTTTGAGTCCTAGTGCAAGTGAATTAAAGTGACTTATTACTGATGGGTCTCTCTTTTCTCCAGCCCCTCGTTATTGTCAGCCTCTGTCAGACTTAGAATGAATCGATAAAGTGCCTTGTATAATGCAGATACAGTTGTGCTTGAAAGTTCACCCACCCAGACAGGGGTTTTTCCATATTTTTGAATGATATTACAAAAAGCTTTTTCCCACTCTTTGCTGGTTGTTTGATGAAGCGTTTGCTATGGGTAGATGCTAAATGTGCAGTTCATGTAAGACAGCCCAGGAATGTACAAGCCCTACAGTCCCTCCCGACACATCTCCTCACTCCCACTGTCAAATCCAAGCACCGAACCTTGGGGGGCCGAGCTTTCGCCATCTCTGCTCCCACTCTCTGAAACTCTCTCCCCCCTCATCTCAGAAACTCAGACTCACTAAACTCCTTCAAAAACAGGTAAAAACTCACAGCTCGCGCTATATAAAACCAATGTATTATTATTATTATTGTAAGAACTGGAGGGTTTTTGCCAAGAAGAATGAGTTAAAGGGGAAATACGCTCTGTTGAGAACAAAAATTCAATTGTAAATGAAAACCAACAGGTCCATAGACATGTTTCAGTTTGTTTGAGTTGGAAAGATGTGTAAAAGGTCTTATTTCTACAGGTAGGAAATCTCATATACGACAACTTAACTCATGGCCTCATAAATAGTTCATGTTACTATGGTTACTTACTGATCACAGTGATGTTGCTGAGGTCGGACAGAGCTGCAGGTTGCACTGTGGAGATGGAGCCCTCGGTCAGCAGCAGGACCAGAGTGGTCTGTGGAGCAGCTGGAGACAAAACACAACAAACATATAGTAATGAAATGGTAAGTTGTAACAGAATGCATTAGAACCTATATCTTAGTTGTTTAAAGTCACTACTAATAAACAAGAAAGATGGCAACAAGATTTTCAAACAACACAATTCATACAAAATGTTAGTACTGCGTAATGATGAGTGCATTATTATATTAATTCATATATACGCCCAAATTTAAGATAAGAGAACCTTTATTTGTCCCACAGTGGGTACATTTCTACGTTGCAGCACACATACAGGACATTAGCAAGAGCAATATTTCTTTCCAAATTGTAAATATAAATGAAACAGCTAAACTAATGGCAAGGAAAGTTTATTTTGTATAGCACAGTTCATACAAAAGGCAACTCGAAGTGCTTAACAAAACAAGAAAAGAAACAATAAAATCACACAAGGCTTTTAAATTCTTAATAATCACATGGAAACACTGCCTCCCCATTTTCCAGTTCTGACTCTGGGTCCCAGCAGGAGGCCAGTCCCTGTGCTCCTCAGAGTCAGATTGTTTCATATGGCTCTAACATGTCACAGATGTACTTTGGTGCGAGGCCATGGAGAGACTTTTATACGACAGCTGTTTTAAATGTTATTCTCTGAGCCACAGAAATCCGGTGGACAGACCTGAGACCAGGACTAATGTGATGGTACTTCCTGGTTCTAGTGTTGATTATTACCAATAATTGAAGTGAGTCTTTGGCAGATGACGGCTTCTTCAGAACAGAGCATACATGAAGCAGGGCATGATGGGAAGCAGGACACACTTTGGGCTTTGATCGACAACAGCAGCATCAGCAAAGTGCCTGCAACAGAGACAAACAAAAATATACTATATGCATTTATCAGACACGAATCAGTGAAGCAGGTCCACACTTACTGGTCATGTTGTGTCAGGAAAAAGGCAACATTTTGGTGAGGCAACGACTATCCCATCGGACTTCATCTCTCTCATTCGCGATCATCTTCATCTTCAGATTTATGACTAAAACAAATAGTAAGAAAGGACGTTTATCTCTCAGACCCCCACATATCATTCGTCCACACAGTAGTTTCATAGGTAATGTTGGTTTTGTCCCATTATTGAAATTACAAACTCACATTTATCTTTTTTACCTACATAATAGATTCTAGTATTTTATATAGTACCACAACATTTATACTACAACAGTTCTGGAATGATGCAAAATCCTTCAATAACTGCTTAGAGAATCTCACATTTATACCTGTTTTTTTCCGTATTGATACTCAAATGAGTGTCTTGTTTCAAAAATCGTTTTAATATCAGCCTGCTTTTCATTTCTTTGGACATCCCTACTGATGGTGACATAACAACAGTTTTACACTTCACACAGGTCTCCCATCCACATATCAACCAGGCCCTGCACTGCTTAGCTTTTGACGAGATGTTTACAATTCTTCATTATCAGTAAACAACAAAAACAATTACAACGGGTACCGAAAGGTCAAGCTGAGGTTTTAGAGCGAGCTCGAACAGGATTTTTCAGCTGTAATCTGGAGCCAAATGTGTAAATATTTGTGGGTAGCAACAACTTAGCAACCAAGAGCCAATCAGGAATGTTGCCTCTCTCCTCTCACTCTTTCCTAGCTTAAGCCGATTTCGGGGACAGAAGGCACGTAATCGGTCAGTTTTTAGGGCACATACATGTACTGTATCTGGATTTACAAAGACAATATTAAAAAAAAATCTTGCCACCGAGCGAGAGGATATAACTTTTCAATTTAAGTCAATGGGAGTCGAAACTTCACCCACGAGCAGTTCCCTACTAGGCTTCATTGAGCTAGTCGGTTAACATGCCCAGCTATACAGTGTCCTGTGTGTCCATTGCTTTTTGTGTTGCTAGGTGTCTCATAAACAGGTGATGAGTGTCAGGGTGTGGAGGGTGAGGAGGTGAGAAGGGTGAGGGGTGAGGAGGGTGAGGGGGGCAAGAGATGTCCCATGAGGATGCTGACTGACTCATGACATCTGCAGCTGATCGAGTTTCAGACAAAGCTCTTCTTCTAATGGGTCCTGATACGCCGCACACTTAACCCGGCCATTAACTCCCAAAATGCAATGCTTCCAGTAAATGATATTCCCATACTTCCATGTTTATTACACAGTGAGGGGAAATGGATTCAGTCAGTTACATCTCATCTGGCTGTTGTCCAAAGAAATGACTATATTCATTTTATAATAATAATAATCAATCCCTTTCGGTCAGGTATCTTTTAGCACTTTGATTCTTAATATAATTTTATTCCTATTGTAAAATGTATAAGATCTTTGAAAAACACGTGACCATAAAGTACTACTAAACTGTTTCTCTCCTCACCTTCTGATAATACATACTTTTACTTGAATATTTTTTTTTTTCAACGTGCATTAATATCTATTCCCAATAAAATTCTACAAGCACGTACCTTCTATTGACTGTAGATGTTGTTGAGAATTGTGAGACATCCAACATAATTAATTTCTCTGAAGCTACTGATTATCAAACACATTGATGAGATGGCGATATACCGGATATAAAAGTGTCCTGCTGTGATGGTGCAGTAAAACTGGTTTGTTTTCTAATAGTAAAGATAGAGAACTCACAAATCCAAAACTTATTTCCAAAACTGTAGTATATTTAAATGTGCATGTCTTACCTGTTGAATGTGTCTTTGGTCACAAGTCGCGAGTCTCTCAAACGTGTTTTGACCGTCCATAGTTTCCAGGCAGCCGTGGCTCTTGTTACCTGCTGTGTACGGAGCATGCTCAGTAAGGACGCTGTCACCTGAGAGTCACAGATGTCAAGACAAATGAGGGATAACTTTTAATCAATGTATTATTTAGATTTACAAATCAGAAAAACAAAGCTGACATACTGTGATCCAAAGTGTGTGCATTTTTAACAATAACCCCGTAATAACACTAGAATAGAACTTGTTATAATTCTCTGCCTGTTGACTTTCACTATGATGGTATAGTATTGATAATAATAATAATAATAATAATGATAATAATGATAATGATAAAGATAATGATCATTATTAGGATCATGATAATAATAATATATTTTATTTATATTGCACCTTATATTTCCATAACAACTCAAAGTGCTATAAAGTTGTAATGAAACCAAGTGATAAATCATTACAAAGTGCTGTTTTTTCTGTCTGCATGCTGATAAATATGTTAAATTCTGACCTGTCAAATAATGTTGACATGAACAACATTATTTGAAGTGAGGACTATTTCACCAGGACTCAATGGAACCAGGATGAGCCTGAGGATCTCTCAGACGGGGATATAAACGTTGGGCTTCAGCCTCCGGCCTTCATCCCCGACCAGCGCTGCACACAGAGGAAATCTGCAGAGAAATCACTGCAGAAACCCTTGTTGGAAATGTGGAAAAAGGGTTTGGAGTTTACACATATAATGAACAAAAGGACACACAGATGATGCAGGTTTGGGAGTAATTGTGCAGGTTTTGTCCTTCTTAATAAATAAACAATAAAGGCATACAGTGCTTTTGTGGTTTGGTTTAGAGAAATAAAACACCAAATATTAAGGAGTAGTGTTATAGTGTTAACTTATTTTTTTGTCACTTAAAATTGATGTCAATTACACATATTTTAGTAGATCCTATTAATCTACTAGTAGTTTGTTGTGCATTACTTCTTAAGTTCATTTTTTAAATGTGATTAATTGCAATTATTTAAACAAAAATGTATTTATTTTCGAAACTTATCTTACATACATGGCCAGTTGGGAAAATTAATGCATTATTTTTAAAGAAAAAAAAAAAACAACAAAACAAAACATACAGACTATGGGAGTTACCAATATCACTTTTAAATTCTCTGTGCAACATTTCCCACATTCACCAGCAGATGGCGATCTTTTAGCCAGAATCGATTAGTTCGGTCTGAATTCAACATGGCGCCGCCCGTAGTCACGTTTGTTGCATAAACTAAGTTGAGCTGTCATTCTAATAAACACGAGAATGCATAGTCGTATCTAAAATATATAAATATTAACAAGAAGCGGATACATTCAGCCACCGAAGACCACCGTGACCCGGGGAGAGAGGAGAGTAGTGCGCGTTTCACCAGCACGACACAGAACACATCTCCCAATCCAATGCATCTCAGGTACATATCGTGATACGCGTTAGTAAAATAATACAATGGCGACGAGAAGCAGGATATTAGCCGCTCGGTTCCTCCGCGGACTCAGGACTCACGGAGCCCGCTGTCACAGCTCGAATCTGGCGCAGAGGTCCGTCACCGCTCCAGAGAGACCCCAGAGAATACCCCACAGAATACCCCACAGAATGCCCCAGAGAATGCCCCACAGAATGCCCCAAACACGCTGGTTCGCCTCTCAAACAGCAAGCACGGGTAAGCAAGCCGCACACATATGTTCTAATACTGACTAAAACACAGCTTATAACAAGGGTGTGTTCTGTTAGCTTGAATGTCTGAAGAAGTCAAGTGTAATGTGTTTTAACCATGACATGTGTGTACAATTGTATTTAATATTTGCAATGGTTTTGAAATGCCTTCAGTTACCTATTGCCCAAACAGAAAGTGTGTTGTAAAAGTAAAATCTTGTGGACTTGTCAGACCACACCATGTTACATGTCTACATCTTATTAGACATGTTATCTGCTGCATACATGTAAGAAAGACTCACTATGGACTGAGTGAGGGCGGTCCTTTCCCTCACACTTTTGTTTATCAAAAAGCTGATCTAAGGATGTGACAGAGGCCATATGAAAACTAGTGATCAACCAAATTGTTTTAGCCTTATTTCATTGATAAATATTTGTGTGGTTTCAAAAACGTTTGTTTTGTCAAAAGGAAAACTTCTATCTTACGTTTACCGTACGAGGACATTTATACTAAAACAAATTGTCTCTAGTAGTAACTAAAGACTTAACATGTCATTTGAAAATAATTTGCGGTGGGATTAGCTGAAAAATTGAGGTTCATGTTATGTAAAAACATAAATGTAAATAAGAACATTCCTCAGCTCAGAGATGTTTTTGTGCCTCCTGTAGGAGTCAACAGTTGGTCTTCACGGACACACACTTGTGGAGAGCTGCGATCATCTCACACGGGAGAGAAAGTTACTCTGTGTGGGTGGGTCCAGTACAAAAGGTATGTTTTAGAAATAATAATGAGTTTAATTTATGTGTTCACTCTCTCTGGCACTTTTCTTATTTTCTTATTCTCCCAAAACAGACATGGCCTCTTTATAATCCTGCGAGACTTTGGAGGGTTGACTCAAATCCTAATCCCACAACAAGAAGTATAGTATTTTTGTATACTTAGGTCCGTGTACATCACTCATGTGTGCTACTAATACTATATATATTATATTTGTTGTTTCCCTTCTAAGTCAATGCATCGTGTAAAAGAGTGTTTGAGTGATGTCCCAGTGGAGTCTGTTATCAAAGTGGTTGGAACTGTTCAACAAAGACCTCCGGGACAAGAAAACAAGGTATTTTATCTTCTTCTTATGGAAGTCCTAACAAACATTCATAAGTATTTAATATATATTTCTTTCAGGACATGGTCACTGGACAAATTGAAGTTTCAGCTGAGAGTGTAGAAATCTTAAACACGTGTAAGAAGCTGCCGTTTGAAATTAAAGACTTTGTGAAGGTACTTTGGACTGTCTCTGGTTTTTGCACGTACAGTAAGTTTTATATGTGGTCTTTTTAAAATCAGAAATCTGAGTCTTTGCGGATGCAGTACCGGTACTTGGACTTGAGGTCGTCTCAGATGCAGAGGAACCTCAGGCTGCGCTCGGAGCTGGTGATGAAGATGAGAGAATATTTGTGTAACCTGCACGGTGAGAAGATGAAGCACTTTTTTGTTTTGTGTTTTATCTTTGTATTTGAATTGTTGAATTAAATCTTCATTTTGTGTCAGGATTTGTTGATGTGGAGACGCCGACTCTGTTTAAAAGAACTCCTGGGGTAAATTCATACTTTTTTATTGGTGATTCTAATGTTTCTTCATTTACTCTTCTGTTCTGTAATGCCTCAAGTAACTTTTGCACTTTTTTATTTTTATTTATTAGATTTATTTGAATTTGCATTTGTACATTAACAAGAAATTAATAACAGCTCAAATGAAGTAGCAAGAACGCGCACAGGTGCTTTCCCCTTATACAGAGGTGCATGATAACTGCATTTCAGGATAATGTTCAAGAAAGTACAAAAATAGTATCTTTGCTCTACACAGTCTGCTTCAGTTTAAGACGTAATATGGAATTATTATTTATCATTTAATTAAGTCTCGGTCAGACGCCTGATTTTACAAGGACTACAACAATTACAGAAGGAAAATGCATATTTGTAAATAAACAGAGACCTCCCACACAAATACATACAATCATAAGTTTTTGATACAGGTGTATACTCTATCATTATACTTTTCTACCTTCCACACTAGGGTTGTCAGAAGAGTCAGTAATCCCCCTCAGTGTCCCCCTCTAAAGGCTGCCTATTCTCGTCAAATACCTGAAACCTGGACACCAATGATTTGCTGGGTTAAATTTAGTAAAAAAATAAATAAAAAAGTGACATAATAGAAAGTACTATTAGGTTTAGTAAAAAACAGCATGGCAAAATCAAGACATTCCCACAAACGCTCTTCCGACTACAAGGTTTTTAAGCCAGGATAGATATTTAAAGATACAACAAATGAACAGTTAATACGTTTAAGATAACTGGTCGTTGAAGCTTTATTGATGTCACAAATGTCATGACAAATGTAGATATTACTGTATATGGTCTGTAACGTTACCCCCGTGCTGTCGATTGTTTCAGGGGGCCAAAGAGTTCCTAGTTCCATCGCGGGATCCCGGCAGGTTCTACTCTTTGCCTCAGAGTCCTCAGCAGTTCAAGCAGCTGCTGATGGTGGCTGGGGTCGACAGGTCAGTCCCTGCTGCGGCAGATCAGAACTCAGATATTCAACCAGAGTAACTATACAATCATGTTTAAAGTCCAGTATACATTTAATATTGTTCCTGATGTTTGATGTATCGAATTATCATACAAGTTAATCAAGAATAGCTTTTTGTTTTTTCTAGGTATTTTCAGATAGCCCGTTGTTACAGAGATGAAGGCTCTAAACCAGACAGACAGCCAGAGTTCACACAGGTTTGACTCATTTTGAACTATTACATTATTTTGTTTACATTACAACACATTTATTTGTTTTTTTATTTTAAGAACTTCTCTGTAAAGCAAGTAAAATATTTGTAAATGCCTAGAACACACAAGGCGATGAACGCAGACATGAACTAAACCGAACTCCATTTGCTTTTCCTGTGTTCGAACGGTTTGATTCGACAAGTTTATAATGTCCTCCGAGACGACTCATGTTGTGATTTTGGGCGATACAAAAATAACGTGTTGCATCACAAGCTGCAGAACAGTAGGAACGAGGAGCCCACAACACTAGATAAGTGAATATTGAATACTCAACTCTATACTTGAAAATAAATAACATAGAATAAAATCTCTATCTTCAGCTTAATAAAGAATCAAAGTATACAAACATGAACACACATGGAATTTTGAACCTTTTTCTCCAGTTTAAATAAATCTAAACTTGTATGTGCACATGTGTTGATAAATCTGTAGAACAATCTAGGGCAAGAGTAATGAAGTAATACATCATTAGCTCTGTGTGTTTCCACAGTGATGATACTACTGTACATGTTAGCAGTATTCTACATTACTGCGCAGATGTATGACATGTGAGGTCAGGTCCGCAGGTCTCATCAGTCTTGGTGGTCTTTATGATCATAGGTAGATATAGAAATGTCCTTTGTGGACCAGTGTGGGATCATGGCTCTGGTCGAGGGCCTGTTACAACACTCCTGGCCCAAAGAAAACGGCATTGTTGAGGTTCCATTTAAAAGGATGACTTATGAAGAAGCCATGCGGGACTATGGTGTGGACAAACCTGATACAAGGTTTGACATGAAGGTAAATATTTACAAAAAGGAATGTTTATTGATTGATGCATTGCTTTTTGTTTATTCTGTTATGTTGCTTTCTCACGGTCCGTCTCCATCCGTTAGCTGATGGACGTCAGTGAAGTCTTCTATTCTACAAACGTTGGGTTTCTACAGTCGGCTTTGAGCGAGTCCAGAGGGACTATTCAAACCATTTGTGTCCCTAATGGAGGAGTAAGTATTTATTATATTTAATAAACATTACACTTTGAGCCCATGAATAAACTGTTTGTGTTTTGGCTCAGACACTTTTTACCAGGAAAGATATGGATCTATTGAAACAGAAGGCTGCTCAGTTTAATCAGGTGAATGAAAACACGTTAGTGGAAAAAATATTCTCAGCATCTGTTTTCTATTAATGATAAACTATGTGTGATGTCAGGAGGTGACGACTTTTCAGATCAAAGCAGATGGATCTATAAAGTCTCCACTGAAGAAGTTGTTGTCTGTTTCTACTGTTGAAGAATTGATAAAAAAGACCAAAGCTAAAGCTGGAGATCTTCTGCTGATCGCGGCGGGGTCCGTCCAGACTGTGGTGAGAAATGATGAGTGAACTTCGCTTCCATTACAGCAACATTAAAGAGACAACAATAGCTTTGCAGCCGAGATCGCAAGAAATGCATTTGGCAGCCCTAAGATGCTGATGCTGATGGATCTGTTTCATGCTGTTGAATTTAGCGCCCTCTGCTGGGAAGTCTGCGACTACAGTGTGCCGACCTCCTTGAGTCTCATGCTGTTGCTCTACGGGACCCCTCAGTTTTTCACTTCCTGTGGGTGTTGGACTTCCCACTGTTTCTGCCTAAAGACGAGTGCCCCGAGGAGCTGGAGGCAGCACATCATCCCTTCACTGCACCTCACCCTGAAGATACTGACTACATGTACACTGAGCCATGCAGGGTAGGCCACGTTGTTCGCGTTTGGATTTGACTTTGTTTCTTCTTCTAAACGTGTGATTTTGATACCTCAGGTTCGTGGGCAGCATTATGACTTGGTGCTGAATGGAAGTGAGATCGGAGGAGGCTCCATTAGAATTCACCGAGCTGCTGAGCAGCTACATGTCTTGAAAAACATCCTCAAGGTTTGTTCATTTATTTTTTCTATTTATTCAAATACATTTTAGTCTAACCCTGATTTGATTGGATAATATTTTGAGTGTGTTTATTTTCAATTACTTCAATATTTTTTTAGGAGGACCCCAGTCTTTTGACCCATTTACTTGAAGCACTTAACTCAGGAGCGCCACCTCATGGAGGCATTGCTTTAGGTGAGATCAATATTTACATTACGAGATGATGGTATTATTACTGTGTAATATTACAGCCATTATTACTTTGTATTTCATACAGAGATGTTGTAATACTATTGACTTTCTGACTTAGGTCTGGATCGTCTTGTCGCAATCATAGTTGGTGCGTCCAGTATTCGTGACGTCATCGCTTTCCCCAAATCCTTCAGGGGTCATGACCTGATGAGCCAAGCACCAGACTGTGTGTCAGAAGAAGAACTGGACTCATATCACATCTCCGTCAAGTGGCCAAAAGAGAAAAAGACTGTTTTACCAGCAGAAGAAACACTCTAGGCCTACGTAGGCTCTCTTGAAAGGAGGGGGATACTTTGCTGTAAATAGTGAATACTTGCATAGTATGCATTATTGAGTCTTGGTGTATAGCGCATTTCATACACAAGCCAACTCAAAGTGCTTAACCAAACAAAAACAATAAAACTATAAATAATCGCAGTGGATTAAAAATAGTGAAGATACAATAGTTCAGTTGTTTTTTTTTGCAGCATAAATCTGAAATGCATAATCTGTATTTGATGGTCTGTAATTATTTACTACAGATAGATAGATATTTTATTGATCCCTGTAGGAGAAATTCAGGTGTCCAGAAGCAGAAATAATAAAAAAATGAAATAAAGTAACTAATAAAGTAATTATCAGCCCTTCAGGTCACAACCACAGAGATTGAGCAGCCTCTGGGTGGAGTGGGACGGGTCAGAGCAGCAGAGAACATATATTTATAACAATAAATCATAAAATTATGCTAACGAATTTTAGCTTTCATTGTCATTTTAACAACGTACTGGTCACATATACTGTGAATATAAAAAATTATCGATTATAAATTTGACTTTTATTTCCACAATGAACCCGGAAGTGAAGGCTGACTTCACGCATGCGCTTTAGAGTTTTAGCTGTCCGCTCTCCGCTCCTCATCTGTCCCTCTGGCCGCGGAGGAGCAAAGAGACCCCAGGTGAAGTGGCAGAGCTGGGCACTTCAGCCACGTCAGCCCCGGGGTTTCTCCTGCGGTAGACCGGCTCCTACTGACCGAACAGAAGCGTGATTGTTAGTCCTATGGCTCCGATGGGTATCCGCCTGTCTCCCGTCGGCGTGGGGGTCTTATGCCTGCTGGGGCTCGGTGTCCTTTACCACCTGTACTCGGGGGTGATCTCCAATCGCCTGGCAGCCTTCAGGTGAGCACTGTGGACGGATGACACGTAGACCAACATGAAGTCCAGTGTTTATTCATGGAGCACTCCCATTGTTAATTTACAAAGCGCTTTAGAATGATGAGATGTGACTGTATAACAAGATGTACTAGTTAAACAAGAAATACTACTATCTGCCATGAGTGGTATCAATTATGTAATCACCTCATGAATTGGGCAGTGGTTGATTTAGTTTTTTCTATAAACTGAATATGCTTTATTATGTCTTGCTTTCTGTTCAATATTTTGATGACCTTCCCCATTTAAGATCATCACTAAACCTATGCTAGTTGAATCTCATGGTTAGCATCTACTGTATGATCTCCAACATTCAAAACCGTGTATCTCCACCCTGTGCATATCCCAAGTGATTTAGATTTTGGGTTTACAGATTTCTTAGCTTGGTTTATTGTTGACCCCCTCAGGTCGTCCTCAGGATTTGTCCCCTCTTATTATGAGTGAGCTTTTTCTGTAGTCTACCAATAAAGACTGCCATCTCCATTGATCTGTTTAATATTTTTTAATGTAGCTTTTAATAGTTTTTATTCCCTTTTAATAGATTTTATACTTCAATAAAATGGCTCAATCTTCTGTCTTTTGTGATGTTTCAGACAAAGGAGAAATGTTGACTTGAGGGACCTGCTGGCTCTGTCTGTGGAGGCTGCTGTTCTGGGTGGAAAAGAGGTGAAAAAGATGGTTTAATTCAAACCTTGCTAACAATAGGATATAATCAAACTTAATAATGTAATTATTTATGAAATAGGTAAAACGAGTGCGAGAGGAAAATGGTCTGCAGGAAAAGTCCAAAGGCAAGACCAGAGAGGGGGCCGATGACCCCCTCACGATGGGAGACCTGGAGTCCCACAGGAAAATGTACAACATCATGAGAAACACATTTCCTGATATCACTGTGAGTTTATTCAAAGAACACTATTCTATAGATTTGTTTTGTTGGTTTTCACATGTACCCACAGCGTTTGACGGTGGATGTGGATGATTCTGACTGATACACCTTCAGCGAAACTTATGCTTGTGGCTCTTTGCGTCCCTGAGATGAAAGGTGTGGTTTTTGCAGGTCAACAGTGAGGAGCACGACCAGGTGGTGGACGAGACTCTGCTGTGGAGCCGCATTATTCCAAGTGATATAGCAGAGAAGATAACGGATCAGAATGAGGTCCCGGCTGAGAGTGTGACTGTATGGATCGACCCTTTAGATGCTACAAAGGAGTACACAGGTACACAGAATATTATTTCATGAATCAATGTTCTCTGTATTCAGCTGCTGATGTGAAATTCACCTGCAAAGACTGGGAGGTCGTAGTGAGTTTTACTTTTTATTCCCAGATAAAATTAAAACAAAAAATAACAGATTATAAATAACGAACGATAGGAGATTGGGCGCTACACTTTAGTTGAACATTTCTTGATATACTGTTACAAGTGGGGTATTTGTGTGTATGATGAGCGAGAGGCGGGCGAGATTTAACAATGTTTTACTTAAATTACGGACACTTTGATTTAAAGGAATAGGCCACCGTTTAACATACTGACATATGTTCTTACCTTAGACTAGTTGATATGTACATGTCTGGTCTTTATCCGTGTGCTCTGTCATGCAAACGGAGCACAGACTGTGTATAGCAACAAATCAGCTCCCGTTAGAAGCTACCAAACTCTTCCACGTGTTTCCTATTTAAATACAGTTACGTTACGTACGTACACTACAAAGTATAGTAACACAGAAATGTAACATGTCGATTTTCTCAGCGGATAAAAAGGGGCACTATATTGTGAGGGGTAATAATCCGAGGAGCACTACGTCCGCGCACTAACTCCTAAGACTTCTCTCTCGCTCACTTCCGTCAATAGAAGCAGCGTGACTTGTAGTACGTACCATAGACTACGTACAGAAGTGGGAGAGAAGTCTTTAGGAGTTAGTGCTCCTCGTATTATTACCCCTCACAATATAGTGCCCCTTTTTATCCGCTGAGAAAATCGACATGTTACATTTCTGTGTTACTATACTTTGTAGTGTAACACGTCACGTAACTGTATTTAAATAGGAAACGCGTGGAAGAGTTTGGTAGCTTCTAACGGGAGCTGATTTGTTGCTATACAGTCTGTGGAAGAGGCTGAGTTTGTGCTCCGTTTGCATGACAGAGCACGGATAAAGACCAGACAGGTACATATCAACTAGTCTAAGGTAAGGTAAGAACATATGTCAGTATGTAAAAACGGTGGCCTATTCCTTTAACCCATATTGTCGTTCAACCTGAACAATTGCAGCAAATGCAGTGTAGTAATTTATTACTCGGCCATGAAATCCTAACTTCAGAATAATTAATTTCCTATCGTTGTGAAACAAAGCCTATGTTTAACTGGGACTAAAAAATTACAACATCTCAGTTGTAATGATTATTCTTCAGTATGCATTCATTGATTCAGTCATTCATTGAGTACAAGAGAATACATCTTAAAGTATCCATGAATATTCATACTTTATAATAATGTATAATATATTTTATGCATTGTACAAAGACTGTTTAACTCTTTCTACAGAGAGCCTGCTGAAGTATGTGACCACCATGGTCTGTGTCGCTGTTGAAGGGAAGCCTGTGATTGGAGTTATACACCAGCCTTTTAATGACTTTACAGGTAACTATCGTACAAATATAGGTCCTTTTGTCTATCAGAGATGACACTGTAGGTCATGTGACCAGGAATGGTAATTGATGAAGGAATACATTTAATGACTTTTCTGACACTGACGAGCAAAAATGCGGCAGGACATTATGGGATCTAGTATCTTGTAAATTTGAGGTCAGAAATGAAAGAAAAGTGTTAACAATTTGTGGGTTATTTGCTTCACAGCCTGGGCTTTAGTGGGACAGGAACATGTGGCAAATGTCCATGCCCGATCGTCCTACAGTATCACACCTCCAAAAGTCATTGTTTCACGGTCTCACTCCGGACAGGTGAAAAATTATGTCCAAGAAGCTTTTGGGAACAGTACCACAGTCGTAGAAGCTGGAGGAGCAGGTGATGATGATTTATTTTTTAGGAAGAATGGCTCCTGCACACTGTGTGCCTGACTTTTTTCAGGCGTATTTATATACATACTGTATACAGTATGCATACAGACTGTAAATATTAGGGCTGTCAAAATTATCGCGTTAATTCACGTTAATTACAGTTTTCATTAACGCGTTAAAAAATAATTAACGCATGTCCGAATGACCCGCCCATTTATAATAATATCACTCAGAATGCCGCGGACACGTGCGTGTGTGTGATGGTGACAGCGGTAATGTGGTCATATAATACACGCATATATACACGCACAGGGGCCATTCTCTGATGTTGTGTGACACACGGAGGAGAGGAGGGGACACGCTGAAATGCAACCAAACTCGCTAAATTAAAACTGGGGTACCTCCATTTTCCCTTTCATTAACAGCTCTTGTTGGTTGTACCCAAAAGTAGAAGGTTGTGAGCAAGTCAAACAGATTTAAGTACATTTGGTATGAATAACAATGTGTCATTACATTTGAAAATCTCATTTAACTTCAATTGGAGTGGATTTGAAATAGAATGTAAAAAATGCGATTAATCGTGAGTTAACTCACCATTACTATGCAATTAATCAACTAAAAAAAATTAATCGTTTGACAGCCCTAGTAAATATACATACTGTATACCCGAAGAAAGTCAGCAGAAAGGAGCTTGCAGAATCTCCCCAAAAACATAACTAGTGTTTGCTTTGTATTTCTCAGGATATAAGGTTCTCTCTCTGTTGGATCTCCCCACTGGAGAGTTTATGGAGCAGGCAGATATTTATGTTCATATCACCTTCATAAAGAAGTGGGACATCTGTGCTGGTGATGCACTGCTAAGGGCCCTGGGTAAGTTTGAAATATTACATCTGTCATTTTTGTTACACAATTTGATTATGGTTATAAAATTCCCTCGGAAAGGAGATTAGTTTTAAGTACAAACAATATGTTACAATATTATGGGCTGATAATTATACGTAAAAATAAAACACAGGCATGTGCTGTTGTTGCAGGAGGTCACATGACCACTCTAAAAGGTGAGGCTATAGAGTACAGCGACACGCCCCTGAACAAAGGAGGGCTGGTGGCCAGTGTGGGAGTGGACCACAAGGATGTACTGGAGAAACTACCGCCCTGGGACCCAGAGAAGCACTGACACGTGCACAGCACTACTGAAGAAACCTGACTGATAAGACTTTTAGTGAGTGTGAATACACAAAAACCATGATCACATCTCCAAGTGAGCAGCAGGTCTTCCGTCACCGCTTCATCAGAAGAGGAGTCTGTTAAGGAGCACAATATATACATGTTTATGGACTACAAAGCCTCTGGAGGTTTTTGCATCTTAGATTTGACTGGTACAGAATAATATATTTAAGAAGGTTGTTACAGCATTCATTCACTACACTGTAGATCACTGTTGCACTGATACTCTGCAGACTATTTTGCAAATGAGCAAAGAAGCTGCTGTACTTCTAAGAGACATGCTTAGACTTGATGGTACAAGCAAAGTAGTGACATAACATATAAGAAGGTTTGTTATAATATGTTAAATATATTTAACATTTGTCAGACTGCTCTAGTTATATTTGCAAAATAGTATAAGAAACGGGGCTTTGTATCATATTCAAAAAAAACATTTTGGTGTAGGACCTAATCTATTAAATTGACAATTTTACTTTATATTTTACATATGGACATACTTCTACAATAAGCTACAACATACCAGCAAATTGGGCCTAAGGATCAAGAGAAATGTTAATGGCGGAAATTGTTTTTGGACTGAAGAGGCAGGTTGTTTTACATTTAACCTTTTTTCTTCCCAAACAAAATCACAGCTGTTACCGGTTACATGCAATGGCCCAGACATTGCATTTTGCTCTGGATCCAAAGTTTTCATTCAAAATAATTGCCAATGAGTTACAAGTTTACATGTTTTCTGCAAGGCCTCTGGAGAGTCCGACAGATTTGTTTTTGTCCAGTGCAAAACGACACCTATTTTTTCAAAGTGTCAAATGTATTTTATAAATGGACAATGGTTGTATGTTGGGGGTATTTATCCAGTTTGATGCAGAAGATCATAGAGTACATGACTGGTCTTTATTGAGTAAATGGGGAAAAACCAATAGCAAGCCTTTCATACCTGAGATGTTTTCAATACGGACTACTCTAATGGATTTTGCAGTTGGTTTAAATAACTTACTCTCAATCTGCCTCTGCTGTGAATTTTTAATAAAAGGTGTTTGTGCATGCGGATAAGAACTTTTTTTTTTTTCCACTGAGCTTGACCAGATTGATTAGTTGGATGATTCTAAAAATGTGGTGACTGCCCCTGAATAAACTGCAAACTTCACCTGCATACCATGTTTAGATCATATAGTGACATTTTATTCACAATTTAGAATTAAGTTTTCTTCGTAGTCATGAAACCTTAGGTAGATTCATGCGTTTAAGAATTTGGACCAATGTCGTAGTCGATTTGTCATTCAAAGTGTTTTATTATAGCTTCTTAATTGGGCTGCTTAAATCTGTTCTCAAGCAATAATTCATTTTATCTAATCTTTTTTGACAGTTGTTGAGCTGATGGGCAGTACTTACTAGACTTACTACAGTCGAATCGGCGTTCTCACTTGGTGTTTGAGAGCTTGTTGAGGATGTGTTGAAGCGACTCCTCCAAGTCTCTCTTTTGGTCAGTAAAGTCTGAAACCTGAGGGTCTGTGACAGTCTGGAGCCACTCTGTCTTTGCACAAAACACGTGTGATGAAAGGTTCTGCACAAATCAACAACACCGAGGGTTAAAAAGGGTTCTCTAGAATAAAACGGGAATCTGAAACTGAAAATAAATGTAAATATATTTTCAATACAATGTAACTGCAGTCTTTTTTTGTTGTCTTTGGTCCCCATTCAAAATAGACGTTTGTGTTTGAATTGGTTAATGGCGATGGAGGATGACTGCTTCAAACTCAACATTACCTCTTCCTGTGTATCATATTGGCAACTTTACCTTCTGTTCTCTTTGAAATCATCTTGAATTTGCATAAATCGCACAATTATGGAATACATGTATTCAAGGTGTTTTGCCCTGAAATACTTGCCTTCTCCACTTATATGACAAAGGGGTAATGTTAACTGCCACACACATTCAAAGACCAGCAATAACTATGCTATAGGGTAATGTTTTGTTTTGTTCTTGATTAACATCAGTTTGTGCTGGAGTTTTTTGCACAAATGTGAAATATGTACGATGTACCCGTTCCTCCTTTGTTAGGCTGCTTTCAGATCGAGAAATGACATCTTTAATGTGGGCCAGGTAAGAAGCAAACTCCTGTTTCGCCTCTGCACACAGAAATGCACACATCAAAGAACATATGAGTATGCATCTTTTATGAAGGGAAAAGCTCACTCATACCTCCCAGAAAAAGGCACTTTTCACAATCTTGTCTTGAGTATTTTCTTGCCAGATCAATCGGGCGCTCTCCTCTGGAGTTCTGCACTTTGGCGTCAGCTCCTAACTTCAGCAGCATCTGCACTGTCTCCACATGGCCCCAGCAGGTTGCCAAGTGCAGGGCTGTATACCCTAGAGACAGGAACAGCACAAGGCTATGTGTAACTATACTTAGATTTAGATCAAATTGGAATGGGGTAAAAACAAGACCATACATAATAAAATAATGCCATGGGAAACTGAGGATAGGTGAGGGGGAGAGCCGTGATGACAAACTCAAATACCAATATACACCTTGGATGCCTTCTAAATACACTGGTAAATGTCGGACTAATCCATTTTTGTTCCATGACTCTTGTTTGATATTCTATGAATAAGTCAGGCCAGTACATGGTGTCTTTATTTAGCAGATAACCTTGTATGTTTTCCATATTGAGAGCTAATTGGAGTGAGTAACTTAGTAACTTATGGATTTTGTTAATTAGCTAGTTGTGGTTTCAAAGTTGAAAGTTAGGAAATCCCGTGTTAAGCTAAGGTTATTGACCTGTGGCAGTCTGCTGGTCCAGCTGAGCTCCATGAGCCGCGAGCTCTCGGACAGCGGCCGTGCGTCCCAACAGTCCGGCCACAAGCAGGGGGCTGCGGCCCATCTCATCACACCCAGACAGGCTCTCCATCCGCTCTGGAGAGGCACTCTGTGGAGGCTGCACTGATGCCTCTGCACCTGCCCTCAACACAGAGCTCATGTCCTAAGCTGTAGTCAGAGACACGATGGCCACTGCTTCAAACAGTGTGTACCGTTGCTATGGTGACTGATGACAGATCGTTTTTATAAACAAAGTGGGGGCTATGTTCCATCGTCATTAACTAGCTAGCTAACTAAATAATGGAATTAATGACAAACATCACAAAAATCTAGTATAAATCATATCACTGCTCATACACATTCACACAGTGTACAGCAGATGGTAGTCATGCGCAATACGCGCAACAACAAAGCAAAGATGAAGGAGTGAAACGGGATAGGTTTTGTTACCGACCACTGTCACTGACAGAAAGCTGACTTCAGACTGTTTTAACGGGAGTTAAAAGATCCACGGCACATCTGGCAACATGATGTTCAACAGACAAACAAGCCTATGGATGGGAGACGTACGTTTATTACGGATAATTTCACCTTATATTGGTCCCACTCGATGGAACTAGCTAATGCTAACGCTAATCCTTTGCTAACGTGGGTTTACTTTAGAACAGCTTAGTGATATACTTTTTGGGTCGTTCAATTTATTTTAGCATGGTATATTTATTGACATCCCACTCGTTATCGTGTTGTTAAGCTGGACCAATACATGGACGAAGACTTCCTCAAGCAGGCTTTCAGTGCCATGGGAGAGTCACCTCTTGGAGTGAAGATCATCACTCACAGAATAACAGGGTAGGTTCGCTCAAGATCATTGGATATTTTACACGTATCAGACTTCTTATGCCCGTCCTGTTTTTGCAGTGGTTCTGCAGGATACTGCTTTGTGGAACTAGCAGATGAAGAGAGTGTTGAGCGTTGCGTTCAGCGGCTCAATGGAAAACTGGTGCCTGGGTCAAACCCGGTGAGTTTTTCTTACATATTACAAAATACTTGTTTATAATCTCAAAAATACGCATATATAATTTATACTTTGTTGGTTTCAATATAACTATAATCTGACCTTTTTTTCCACAATATTCTAAACTATTTTAACCCACCTGTGGATAATGGAGCTCATCTGCCTTTGAGACCATGATTACAATGTATTATTCTTTGAGTTTGCCATAACACATTGCAGTTTTTTCATGTTAAACGGACACAGTTACAAATTAAGTCACAGTGAAATGTTATGCCAATGATGTTTACTTATGGGCTTGTTCTGATTGTGCTTATGAGTAAGCTTTGGTTGGCTGTTGTGTTTGAAATGCTCTTGAGCTGGCCAGTCTGCTCAGCTCTCCTGTCCACCAGCCTCACCTACTGCTGACAGTGTCTACTAGGCTGCCTGTACATGAATGTACTTTGTTTGAAGCTGGTGAATAGAGTCTCTGATAGGAACTAACTGGAGTGGGCAAAAGGCTGGTCTGGGTGGTAGAGGTATGTATATCTAAATAAAAGAAACTATAATCACTTCATTCTTTATTCCAGCAATATCAGTGCCATACTACATGAATTGAGGTCTATAGAGTACTTAGGATTTGTTTTTTCCCCCTCTTCATATGCAGCCCCGCAAGTTTAAACTAAACTATGCCACTTATGGAAAAAGACCAGAGCCAGGGTAAGTCACCCCTCATCTTATATAACACTTTATACTATTGTTACTTTTTATTACAATGCAATAATTAATTTCTTAGACCAGAGTTCTCAGTGTTTGTTGGTGACCTGGCCTCTGAGGTGGACGATTACCAGCTGCACCAAGCTTTTAAGAAGTACCCCTCTTGCAAAGGAGCCAAAGTAGTCACTGATCAGTACGGCTACTCCAGGTATGCCTACTTTTTTTAAGGCTTCCAACCAAAAAAATATGCGTTTTTTTGTCCATTCAAAAAATAATAATTTTGTATGCTCTGATACTTTGATAGCCTCTGGATGCTGGCCTTCTGCACATCTATTTTCAAAAAATAAGGCTGAAAACTGTTTTCTTGCCATTCTTGCTAAAACTATTGTTTTCCCCATTTAGGCTAAGCAAGAGCAACTCACAAATCAAGTGATGCTACCACATGTTAAAAGTAAAACAACAAGTTTCAGTTCTACCATAATAATACCCATTATATTCATTTTTCTCTTTAAGTGGCTTTTACTGTAAGTATAGTGTTGGCATTGAAAGTTGGGAGTTTTAACAGGAGTTTGACTTGCAGAGGCTATGGGTTTGTCAAGTTTGGGGACGAGAACGAACAGAAGAAAGTCATTGAAGAATGTCAAGGAATGGTGCTAGTCGGCAAGCAACTCAGACTGAGCATCGCTGTTGCAAAGAGGTACAGTTTGTAGGGCCTTCAGCCTGTGCTTTTCAAATAGGTCTGCTGGACGTTTTAATTTTAATTTTTTGTTTCACAGTCAGAAGGTGGTCACTTACCAAGGTCAGAGTACGTATCCCAACTACAGTCCGACCCAAACCAGCTATTATGGCAGCACTGGTGGGACAGGAGCATATTACCCACAGTGGGGAAGCTATGATCAGTACAGCGGATATGGCACAGGCTACAACACTGGTTACAACACTGGCTACGGCACAGGCTATAGTTACAACTACGGCCCGTATGGATATCCACCTCCTGGTCACATGATTCCCCCGCCTCCTGTGAGTGGCCCATCGTCTGCGCCTACAGACACAACAGCTGCCACAGATGTAAGGACTAGAATTTCCTTCATTGAACCAATACATATTAAAACTAAAGCAATTGATTTTTACCTCTTCAGCAAAGTCAAGAGACGACCAATCCAGTTGTGACTGAGAGCACGGAAGGTAATTAAAATGTTATAAATGAACTGAATGAATTTACAATATTATCACATGCTTCATCATGTGAAGACCTTATTTTTGCTGAGTCAAATTGTTTTCCTTTGCTAATCCTCCTGCTTGTATCCCCCCCAGATCCTCTATCTGTCTGTGACGTGGACCAGCGGAACAAAGACTTTATGCAGCAAAGTGAGGAGCTCTATGAGGCTTTAATGAACTGTCATTGGGAACCGCTGAACTCTATGGACTCCTCTGTTCCCTCGTGCTAATTGCGGAAACATAGTTTATTTTATCATTTGTCCTCTTGTTTGAAGTTGACAAGGAAAATGCCTCACAAAACTGCTTTGGTCAGCAGTACCAACTGCAATGCGTCTGTACTGCAGAAGTGTGGAGTCAAAGCTCAGTTTTCAAATGGAATTTTGCAGAATTTTACCAAACACTCTCGTTACTTAAACTTAATGCTGTTTTTATAATTGGAAAGGGGGGATTACTTTTAAATTATCAGTTGTTAAAGTCCCCAATAAAGTCTAATGAAGTGAATTGCAATTTGGACAGTATAAAATGTATTGCCTCTCTTCAAAATATACATTAGCGCTCATATTGGTTGTATTCCGAATACTTATTTTGATTACTGTAACTGTATTCAAACAGTTTAGGTGGTATTCAGAATAGTTTATACATTATGGAATTTGATCAAGATTTAGACTTTTTAAACAATACATTTTTTGAAAAAATAACTTCAAGGTTAAGGTACATTGAAAGGAAATTTGTCCTCTGCATTTGACCCATCCTGCAATGCCTCGAGGGCCTCAGGCAGGAGCAGTGGTCGCCACAGTATAGCACCTGGGAACCCATCCCAGATGTTGATGCTCTGCTTGGTCAGGACTGGAGCTGGAATTTTTCCTGTTGTGCATGTTTTGTAGGGGAAACGCTAGGAAACCCATCCAGACACGGAGAAACATGCAGACTCTGCACAGAAAGGACCGACCTCACGGCCTTCTTGCGGTTTTAGTACGTGTAACGGAATACGTTATGAAATACATTTCATCGCAGGTATTACATTAACTGTTAAGTAGATTTTCTTAATACAATGTATTCTCAACACTGTTTGTGACTTTGTTGATCATGCAAATTGCTGCAATTTTGTAAATATTCTGTCTGAACACGTTTTACCAATAAAGACTTCCTGAACAAGTGAATTTTGTGAGCCATGCACACTGTTCAAAATCATAATGTATCCAAAAGGTTGCCACTGACCAAACATGCTTTGCTCATGTACATTTCAAAAATACCAGAAAGAAAAAAACATTGACATAGAATCTTACATAACAGTAATTTTATGTAACAATTACAAGTTGACAGTAAAACCACCAATAACAAATTGAGTTAATCTCAATTACTTGAAGTCTGTCATTCAGAGTGTCCCTTCTATTCTGCATTCAAGCAGCTCTTGTTGAGTAGTCCATGACCTGGTTTCCCTGGACAGAACCAGCTTGGACCCATCCGGTACCATCCCTGGTACAGGACCCTCCAGCTCAAGCAGCCCAAAGCCCCTCCCAAAAGCTGTGTAGGGAACTGGGGAAAATAAGCCAACAGACAGAGCAATAAAAAGATCCATAGGTTAAGAAGAAGGACACAAAATAAGAAGAGAATCCTGAGAGGTGCATCAGAGACACCGCCCAGGCTCAGATAGGGCCCAAATACTGCTGTTTCTTCTGCCAGGAGCAAACAGCAGAGACAGAGGAGGAAGACATCTTCAGATACTTCATAACCCCTCCACAACATCCCAGCTTTAAGACATTGTGCCTTACTCTCTCCCTCATGCAGGACCAGTAGTGGCAGACCGCTGGTCACATCTGAGGTCCCCACTAACGGCTCATAGCAGCTACCAGTGGCATTCTCCAACAAGTCCAGGAGTTTACAAAAACCAAGCCACAACCCTCCTGCCAGCAGGAGGCGGGACAGGTGCCGGAGGGACAGAGTCAAAGAGCGGCGAATAGAGAAGGAGAGGACAAACACAAAGGAGCCCACAAAGACGCAGGTCCAACCCCATCCTGAGCGCAGAAAAATCCTGAAGCACAAACAAGAAAAAAGAGTTACAAGATATTTCAGGCAAAGAGGTGTCTAAACACTTATGTAATAGTTTAATAAATAACAGCTGGATGCACATGTTTTATGTGAAAGTGAAAGAGAAGGTGGTGCCATCACCTGTACATGAAGTGTGTCCGCTTGGCAAAAATGCTGTGCTGGGACACCCAAAAGCTGAGCCCAGGCCCAAACATGAGCAGCACTGACAGCAACAGGTGGAAGTGCCGTCGAAAAACACTGTTTCCAAGAAAACTGGCAGCCAGGTCTGTAAGGACCACTAGAACTGTGTTGAGAAACATCTCCGTTCAAGTCACTGCCGTGTGGAGGGTCTCACTCAGATTCAAAGCATTCACAATTGGATAATGCAACACTCAGCAGGATGCAGCCAGAAAACAGTTAGAGTTATGCAATTTTTGTAATAAGCAGAGTGTAGGTTGTTTAGTTGTACGCTATAACCAACACATTTACATCCAGTTGCAAAAGAAATGATCCACGAGGATTAATAAAAATGGCCTAAAGTCCACTCTGCTGGAGTCTGTTGAAAACACATGAAGCACAGCACGGACCCAAATGAAGAGTCAGCTGGCCTCAGCATTCCTCACACTGTAAATGTGCATACTCTCTGAAATCCATCTGAGAAGTGCGAACTCCAGCGGTCAATGCATCCAATATATTTCTAATTTAAGGGAAGACCACACTCAAACTAGTGAGGCCTTAAGCAGATTCATTAAAGACAATCCAGTGATCCAGTGTTGAATCCAGTCCTGAGAGGAACCTTGAAACTTCTCTGTCTGACATCTTCACTGTTAGAAACACATACATACAGAGCGAGTTCTTGCTTTCCCTGACCACTCAGACTTCAGGTGTCAGATTACTCCTTATGTATGAAGGGCAAGGAAAGTTATCCCTAATGACATTCCTGGTTTCTGGGCTGCGATTGAGCTGCACACTTTATGGGGGGTGGAAACACCATAAACAGAATATTAACAAATATAATAAATGTTCTTTAGTGTATCAAACAGTGTTAGGTGTTATGTGTGTATGTGTATTAATAGCAGTAACCTTTGTACTGGAGCGAGACTGAGACGCAGCTGGTTATGTCACTCAGATCAGACCACAGCACAGACTGTTCAACCTTTAAATCAGAATGCAAAGATAAAGGCTTTCTGAGATTCATGCCTGGGCTCTTTTTGTGGAAAGGTCTCAGGATTTAAAGGGAAATGAATATAGTTCCTGATACTACTATACATGTACACATGCTGCAACATTGACTATTAGTAAAACCAAATTATGTGACAGCCCCCTGGTGGATAGTTACCGAAACACAGCAATAAAACTGGAGAGCATCCAGTCATGGGCGGATTCAGGGCTGGGTTAAGAATATTAGTATTTTCTTGCACATTTTCAATTTCTTCCACACGTGGAAGCAGGAAAATATATTTCTTACAAAATGGCAGGAGTTAATCACTAATAAAGCTTGTAGTGGCCATCAAGAGTGTGTCTGCACCATAGATTATATATTGAGCATTGATATCATGTGGTGTGGACTGACCGAGTGCTGACGCCACTTAGTTTTATTTCCTCATAATGGCATTTGTTGCTCAGTGGTGGCTAAGCATACCTGTCAACATTCGGCTACTGCAGTTAATTGTACTAGACGTGTTTAATGTATTATTTACATTGAGGTCCCGAGAGAGTTGGAGCAGAAATTTGTCCATGAGCACTTCCCTATTGTGCTTCATTGAGATAGGGGGTTGGCATCGTCATACAGTACTTCAAACAGTCTATGGCCTGCTCTTGTGGGGGCGGTTGGCTATCCTAACCCTAACGGTTAAGGCCTAACCCAAGACAATGGGAGGTCGGCTGACACCCCTTGGCTGACACCTTTGCATTCTGATGTGTTTCCTCTCATTCTGACAGAAACAGCTTTATTAGAGTCTGGTTCAAATCACAGATAATCAAGTTATATGCTTTATTATCAAGCCCCAGCTTAAAGTAATATACAACCTATTCAAAACACATAGGTAAAAACAATATCTCGGCTTAGTGCTGTATCAAAAAATATCATATAGCAGCATTCTGTTTGCAGTTTTTAAGATCCTCATTACAACAAGCTCTCTGTTCTACAACAATACTGCCACATAGTGGACCAAGAAGAACACTGCGCGTAGGATCAAAATAAAGGAACTGTGTAGTTTTTTTCTCTGACTGGAGTTAAAAGGTTACCACTGTGGTGCCACATATTTAGTTGTTGACGTTGGGTAGAGACCAAACACACTGGAGCTGGCAACTCACATGACAGATTTATGAGAGCCTCATTCTGCTCCCTGATTGGATAATCATCTTGAGAAATGTTAACATAAACAATGTGGGTGTGTTGTTGAACATTTGTACATACCAGCAGATGTCTACATAATGTATAACATCTTACATATGGATCCTGGATGTTCCCTGTGTGTCTGCACTGTGTTCACACACTGGAAATGCATCAGTCCGCATGACGTCACAGATGTGTTTTAAAAGTTGGAGCTGGGGTAGTCCACTTTCAAACCACAAACAATGGAACCATATGACAAAAAAAAGAAAAGTGAAGAAAAAGGAGGACCCCCTCAATCAATCATTCAGGTCTCAGTCCAAAGTGACAAATAAAGTAAGTAAGTCATCTTAATTTTTTTAGCGCCTATGTTGTCAACATATGTCAAATATGTTTTCTAATGAGATGAAGACTCTTTGTGTTGGGCAAAACAACATGCATCATTATGGAAACATGTTAAGTAGTGTGAACGTACTCTTAATTACACGTACTTGTTACTTAATACTTACCTACTAACTTTCAAAACTCAGCTCAAACAAACAATGCTGCAATGTGAAATAGCCCAGACTGCTGCAGTCAGATGCAGATCAGCAGCTCCTGTGCAGTATCAGCTTTGTGAAGATGTTTATGATTCATTATCATAAACCGTAACTTCCACTTGCGCAACATCTCAAAGCTCAGAAATATGGTATCGGGTCAGGAGCAAGAGATGATTGTCCTCGCTTTTGTTTCCTCGCGATTGGACTATTGCAACAGCCTGCTCACATGTCTTAGTAAAAATGATCTGGCTTGTTTGCAAGTAGTCCAAAATTCTGCTGCAAGGCTTTTGACCCGCACCCACAGGAGAGCCCATACTTCTCCAATCTTGAAGTCCTTACACTGGCTCCCAGTCTCACACAGAATACATTTTAAAATTCTGGTGCTGACTTTCAGGGCACTTCATGGTCAGGCGCCTGAATACATCCTGGGCCTGATCCACCCCTATGACTCCAACAGGAGCCTGAGGTCCGCCACTCAGAACTTTCCTTTGGAATGAGCTCTCTGCACATGTTAGACTGTGTTGATGATTTCAACAAGACTTATTTGTCTAGACAGGCTCAATAATACTTATAATATTAATTTAAGTTACTTTTTCAAGAATAATTGTAAAAAGTAAGATATATTTTTTAATTTATCATTAGTTTTATGTAAAAAAATACTTTTAACTTACCAAACATATTTTTTTTTACATATAACTAGCTTCACAATTATTGTGGGCATTTGTCCACTCACTCCACACAGAGATGTACAGGGTCGCCTCCTGTACGGCGACCCTGTACCGGAGCACCCAGGGAGAACATGCAAACCCCACACAGGAAGGCCTGGAGGTGGAATTGAACCCAGGACCTTCTTGGTGTGAAGCTACTGTGAAGCTACTACAAAGCCATGACTGTCATTGTAGTAGCTTATAGTATGATAGTAGTAATTAAGTTTCTACAAATGCTTTTGAGATTTGTGTCTACAAAGCACGTCCTAAAGTCTTGATGCAGTTCCCTCTTTGAGTACTTACTTGAAAAACCCAGTTCCCATGCAGAGTGTGCTGTCCAGTCAGTGGGAGCGACTGTCAGCTGTGAATTCTCGTGGATAAGCCGCCATAAACCGGAGTGACAACACACACAGCTGTCCTCTGCGGCTGCTATTGTTCCAAAGGAGAGCCACAACAGATTGATGTGCCCCCAGCCTCCACTTCAGTGCCTTTGGAAGATAAAAATATGATACAATGTTAAGCTCTGTTGTTATTGTTGGAATTCAAGGAGATATTAACACACATGCTTTAATAGAAAATGTTGGGCGATGCTCTGCCAAGAAAAGCCACAATGATAATAATAATTGTTTGACAACATGGCAAAATGAAAAATAAAATAAGAGATTATTCAAAGAGTGCAAACCTCAAATTTGTTTCACAGGCATGTATCTGTGGCCTCTGTCACATCTTTAGATGAGCTTTTCAGATAGCAGTTTTAAATATATTTGTATGCATGAATTATAACATTATTTTTAGATTTTTATCAATTTAGCAAAATGAATTGACTTATACTGGGTTTGTGGAAGTAAACCGCCTTCGCATTCACTCACTTTTTGTCCTCCTTGTCCTCTGTCCTGTCCAGTCTTTTGTCCTTGTACAGTATCTCCCTAATCCCAAACGTACCTTGTACAGTTTGTGAATGTGTATCTTGTTATATGCTCTGTCCTGTAGTTGTCTTTTCTCTGATATTGTTTTGTGATTTTGATGTTGAATGTGAAGTATCAACCTGTCTAGGGACAACAGATGGAAATTAGCCTATGGCTAAAATCTGACATATTTACATATTTCTATATGTTCATTAATATGTACTGTCCCTGCTTAAATAAATAAATAAATAAATAAGAAGAGGACCACCCTCACTGAGCCAATCAGCTCTAATATATATATATAACATTTTTTCTAATAACATGTGACAGTATGTTGTGGTCTGATTTGTTCACAATATGTTATTATCACAAGACTCTTTCTGATGTAACAAACAAATGTATTCATGAAACAAAACACAAAAGTAAGGTACTCGAGCTTTAATGTATCTGGCCACAGTGGCCGTCATCAATAACCTGATCAGAGCTGGTTCACGGACTTCATGGCGTACACGTACACGCAAAAGCATGGATGATCTAAATGATTTGAGCACACACAAGTGCAGCAGCATGGGTATTCCCAGGCTAGCTAATATCAGGAACTTTTGGCATGTACAACAAGTAACTCTGCCCCTATTACCTAAAGGCTCCTCCCCTCGCATTTCAGAATCCACCATCACTGCTCAAACTGAACAGAAGCTTACGCTAACAGAGTGTTGTCAGACATGAACTGTAACAGCTTCTGTCACAAATCTCTCCAAATCCTGACCTTTTGGCCAACTGCAGTTAGTGGTCGCTGTGCATGAGGCTGTGTTTTTGCTCATTAGCCTCGTAAAG